TCATCGGCACTCATAAATTCGATCTCTTGTTTCGTCGCGTCAAGAAAGAAAATTATTTGCAAATTTGCGAATTTAATTACGTAATTATCCGCGTAATCTATGTATAATTCTTTTGGATGATGTGTGTTTTGGAGGTTTTCTAATTATTCGTCTAATTAATAATATTAGCAAGTATATCAATAATTTTTCTTTGCTGACAGATATTTAAATTTATAAATATTTAAGTATATATTGATAATTTTTTCAAGCACAGTGATATCATATTACATCACTATACGAAATATCAACCATCACATTATCATCAATAAGAGATCAGCAACGTAATAATAACATATATGGTATATGAGATAGTAGCGGTAATGAATGCTATAAACTAAATCAAGTGTCAATAAAAGAATATTACCGTATATAATTTAAATCGAATAAATGTGAAGATTTTATTTAAACATATATGAGTGAAAAGCGAGTGAAAAGGACTTCTTTACTATTATATTTATTTTTTTTACGTTTTTAAACTTTCACAGATTGAGAAACAGTTTTATACATACATACACATATACATATGTATATATATATCGAAAATTGCAACATAAACTGTGTAAAATAGCGCGTTGCTTAAATAAATCTCTTCTCTTCTCTACCGCAATCTATCAGTGCGCGTCAGTCGCTGCACCTTCGCGCTAGATAATTTATTGCATAGAGTATATACATATATATATATATATATATATATATACTCTATGCAATATATATATATATATATATATATATCGGGCTACCAACAATATAACCAATCTGCTGTCCGGCAGAATACAGTGGCCAAAGCGCCAATAAATATGGATGGAGTAGTAATAAATTATGGCTGGAAAAGACGATTAGGATGCAGCTATAAATTATCATGGATATATCGCGAATACGCGTCGCACACCCTATATGGCGACTGTGCCTTATGGCCATCCCATGTGTCCAATAATATGGATATTTTTCGGCCTTTAATCCGTTTAGCCACGAATATTCATAGCCGCGTGTTCGTTTTTAGCTCGTTCGTCTCGATTACGATATTTACTCGTTATGCCGTAGTGATTTCGTCGCTAACGACAGAGATAGAACCTCAATAAAATAATATATCATTTCTCTTTTTGCCTTATCTAACTTGTGAATCTAAAAGGTATTTTATTGTAGTTATTTTTATTATATACAAAATATTCTGAATTTCGCGCGAATTTCTTTTATCTGTACACAGAGAATTTTCTCTTTAAAATTTACCTTGAAAATCATGCTAATTGTGGAACAATATAGTATTGGAAGAATTTCATAAGAGTTTCTCTGATTAATATTTACAACACAATAAAAAATATTAATATCTACAATAAGATATAAAATATGTTCCATTAATTTTACTTTGTAAATATATAGTAAAATTTACTATATACATATTTTTTATTATAGTAAATATTAATCACAGAGAAATTCTTATATATAAAATTCTTTCAATACCGTATTGTCTCACGATTCCCATAAAATTTTCAGGATAAATTCTAAGAGATAAAATTCTCTTCATGTAGACTCATTAGTCAAAGTCCAAAAAATCGATTTTGATTTTAAACAAGTGTTAGTTAAAAAAATATTATTTTTCATAAAATGTCAACATATACATTCAGGTTGTATTAATATAATTGTGCAAAAACATTTCATTATCATCTCATCTTACTGTTTCTGGATTAATAAAATAGAATCTTTTTTCTACATACACGCATGTTTGTATATGTTAAAGTATTATTGTTACAATATTTTCCAGAGTGAATTGTTCATTCTAAAATAAAATTCTTTCTAGCAAAAACGCGTATTATTGAAAAGTACGCTAATTATTCCTAAAGAAAGGCGAAATAAAAATGAAGGGTGTAAGCAATATCACGGGTGAAAAAAAAATTCCTTCGAGCCGGATTTGAACCAGCGACCTATGGATGGCTCCAAATATTCAACAATCAACTACAGTCCACCGCTCTACCAACTGAGCTATCGAAGGTTATGCGAGTGATGTGAAATTTAACCTTCAGAAAGAATCGTTACATTTATCTTTGATCATTCTTCACTGGAATGATGTTTCGCGTATCGTAAAACTCTCATTTTATGATTACAAGATTAATCTAAATCTGAATGCGATATTATATCGAATCGTTATATGTATATATTATATGTAATAATAGTTATATGCACGTATATTTCAGTATTCATCAAGCTCTAATCAAATATGAATACTATTATGTTAAACACGCACATTCTTGGTCGCAAAGTACGCAATTAGTCTTTTTCTAGCGTTTCTTACGCAAGCACGCGTACATCATCGTAGCAGTGCGTGACGTCAATATCGTTTATAAGATGTAATATAATTATCCAATACATTTCGCAAAAAATCCCACAAGAACTTACCATAAATCGGGATCTTTAGTGCTTTATGGAAATATCTGTCAATACAATTTTAAAATAAATTTCGCGCGAAAAACACTGCGACACATCTCATCTATATAGATATATTATAATTGCCGCGAATCGCGATAAGGAGAGGTACGGTTAGGTAATAAATATATAAATAGTGGCTCATAAAAGTTGGTCGCGTTTAAAAGGCGAATGAATCGCGTGAAAATTGCCGCTAGAAATTGCTAGAAATCCAGAATGTTGTAATTTTCGCAGCAGCGCGGTAAAAAAAAATGACGTTTCGCAAATATAAATAAAAAATGTGAAAAATATAATTCTAACCTAATCTGAAAAGCGACTTACCGAAGACGCCCTGCCCAGTGTCAATCCCCGTGTCACCGTCGCCAAAGATAGAGATGACAGCTAAGGTGTCATGTTGAACCACTTTGATCGGACACCCGCGAAAATCTCACTCACTGTACTCTCACACGTTCACGTTCATATTAATAACGCGAAACATGAAAATTCTCGAATGCATCGCACAACAAACTTTAGACACACGCGCAAGATGGTGGACTACTTGGTGGGTCACGTAGGTCCCCCAACTCTGGAAGTGCTTGCGTGATCAAAACGTACTCGTGGCGACATCTAACAGTCATCGCAATCACGACTCCAAACAAATATTCTCCAGCCTTCAAACTCGTGCTAAATAGGAAATTCGCATTTCTTATTAAACGTTTTAAGTTTTACAATCAAATAGATCTTGCTGTATTTTAACAAAAAATAATAATAATAGCACACAATATGCAGAGAAATCTCCGAAACCGAATCGCGAAATCAATTCCGGTTCAAAACGGGACTCGATATTTGAGTATGATAATATCAATTATGTCATACGCATTTGACCATAATTTGATAGTTTATAACATAACACACAATCACAGTGACATGTATGCGCGATTCACATTTTCACAAACACAGTTGAATAACGAAAAGTCTGCACAATTCTCGTCAGATATCCTCGTACTTTCGCGGATCGGCGATAAACGCGCGAACATTGATGATGGACCAAAGAGCAGCAGCATTCTAGATTGTGTTCGGACATACAATATATTCACCTAGGAAATGCTCGGTTGACCAATGAGGACAAAGAGATTCTTGGACTCCGATTGGTCGGTCGAATACTGCACTTCCAATCGGAAAGCAAAGATCTCTTTGTCCTGATTGGTCGACAGAGAGCTGTCACTCTAGGTGAATATATTTCCGAACACACTCTAGACTGCCTTCAGTGCCCTCTGGTCCTTCGACTTGTTCGTGGGGAAGTCGCCATCGTCGATTTTGATCAAATCTTTCAATAAGTAACCAAAAAAGCGGCGAAGCAACTGTATATGGTGAATAATTTATTTCTTATTTAATAATAATGTTATTTTTTTAATATTAATTATTTTTTAATTTCAATTATATATAATTATTTGTATGTATTTTATTTATTTTTTACAGTTTACAATTCCGCTGTTGCGCATCGTATCGCGGTGAGTCTCATCAATTTTTGTTTGAATTTTAGATAATAATTTTGTGAAAATTCTCTCCGATTTTACCCGAAATTTTACAACATTATATATTTTTATGTGTTAAATATATGATTCTGAAAATTAAAATTCGTCCTGCCCTCCGTGGGGGGAGACTCAATTTCGGATTTAAATATGTGTATGTACAAGCTAACCAAGAGGAATTACTGCTATAAATATTATAGTTCCATTTGAGGTGGAATTATACATATAGATATATTTTTATATATATAGATATATTTTCAAATCTAGATTCACAGATTTAATTATATTAATATCGTATTTTGAATTAATATAAACTTTGCATTAAAACTTATTTAATATTAAAATTTAATTAAAATAATTATATATATAATGAGATCATATACAAATAATCAATGCAATAATTATATGTGGTCAAATCTTTTTTTACAAGCTAAATTTTTTTTTATAAAATATAAAAATAACACACAAATAAAAATTATTTTCATTAAATATACATACATTTTTAATAGGAAATACACAAATAAAGGATCTATACAAACACACACTTTTGATCATTTTTATCCCAGATAGCACCATGTCTAAAATGCATGCATAAGTCATCATTAAGAAATCTTTAAGACATCTTTAAGAAATCTTATGATATCCCAAAGACATCTTGAAAACATCTTAAAAATGTCTTATGGGTGCATTTTGGACATGGTGCTATCTGGGATACATCTTGTTTAAAAAAGTTGTTTAAATATATAGTGTAAAATTAGTTAATATTAGTAAATAAATCTAAACATTGTTAAATTTATAATAATCGATTTATTTTGTATGATATAATATGATTATAAAACGTACACGTGTTACACACACATGTATATATAAATTTCAGATTGTATTGCTTAAAAATATAAGCGCAGTCGAGTTTAAATATTTATCATATTTAAATTTAAGTTTGACATTATTACAATATTTAATATGCCAGATCTATATATTTATCTCTATCATTTTGTCTTAAAATTAATTTAAAATTAAAATTAGTCTGAACGTAAAAAAAACTATCTGTTGACACATGAGATAATAATTTATACAATTGTTTCTATCCATTTAAGTAAAAGAAACAAATTGTTTAAGATATAAACACACACAAAGAGAGAAAATGCAGTATTTTTATACTGCTATTACTAATGCAAATAATAATTGTTAAAATACCGCAATTACACTAAAAAGAAGCTATTGATTTCAAATAAATATGTATTTCAATAGTGCCATTAACACTATTTAATCGAAACAAATAAATATTTATCTGTTTTGAGAAAGGATTTTTATAATTAAATAAGCCACGGTATTTTTCATGGCAAATCGGTATTATTAGTTTTAAACAAATTGTGTTAATGACACTATTGAAATAGATATATATTATTTAAAATCAATAGTTTTTTTTCAGTGTATGTGTGCAAAAATATTTATCGGTATTTTAGTAATCACAAAATACCACTTGTATAATAATTATAATAGAAAATTAACATAAATGTACAATTATCCAACCAATTGAATATTACTGTCTGTGGCCTAATTTGCACCGATATATTTTGATAAGCGTATTAAGTACTACTGACGAATTACAGCCATTCTAAAGAATAGAATGACTATAATTGGTATCAGTAGTACGGCGTTTGATACGTGTATCACAAATAATCATACATTTAAATGTTTTAAAATATAAATCCTTTATAAAGATGTGTCATTAAGAGAACTATTATTATGTAAAAACTATCGTAATTACTGTTCTTTTTCCATCTGTAAACTAACTTCTTTACATCGAAGTGTTGCCGCCTCTATGGCATCGATTAAGGCCGATCTTAAGCCGTGTTTTTCTAAATGATGAATACCAGTTATAGTGGATCCTATAAAAAATTGAAAAAACATATAAGTATTAATTGAAAAGAAATACATATTATATTGCATATTTATACAAATTCTGACCTGCTGGTGAAGTTACATCATCCTTAAGCTGTCCTGGATGAATATTTGTCTCACGAACCATAGTACCAGCGCCTAAAACAGTTTGCGCAGCTAGTTTATATGCGATGGGTCTGGTAAGTCCCATTTTACTCCACCATCAGCCATAGCTTCGATCATTATGTATACCTGGAAGATATATTTTTCTTAGTAATTATTTCAATAACTTTGTAAAAAAAAATTGTACAGGGTGTCCCATAGAAAATTGCTGAAACTGATCAGCTGTCATCTTTTAATGCATGCAGTTATTAAGAAAACAAAAATTGTGTTAAAAAGAGGAAAGTCTGCAATTTTTAATGGATATAAATAAAATGTTTGTATATCAGTTTATTTGATTGAAAAAAAAATAATGAAAAAAGTGCTAATAATCACATATGTAAACTATATAATGATAAATATATTTTCGAAGTGCGCACCATTTGAATTGGTACGAAATTCTGTTCTTTTACGAAAACTCGTAAAAACTTTTTCTAACATGTCATTTTTAATGTTATTGATGATCCTTTTAATAGCTACTATTAAATCTGGCACTGTTGAAAATATTTATCATTAGTTTATGTGATTTTATGTAATTATTAGCACTTTTTCCATTACTTTTTATCAATAAAATAAACTATTATATCAAATATTTTATTTATATCCATTAAAAACTGCAGACTTATTTCCTCTGTCCAACACAATTTTTGTTTTCTCAATAACTGCATGCATTAAAAAATGACAGCTGATTAGTTTCTGCAATTTCCTATGGAACACCCTGTAAAAGAGATTTGGAAAAAATTTTTAACATACAATTTTCTCTATTTTAACTGTTGTAATAATAAATGATATTTTCTTACGCTTGAATTATATGATTGTTTACGGAACGAATTAAATTCACGGAAAGTTTACTAACATAAGCAGGACCGGAACTGGCCAAGGCGGTGACAGGATCGATGAGATTTTCAGTAACTTGTTCGCAAATTCCTACGGCGGAAAATAATTTCTCCGTGATTTCGGCATCTTTATCACTCGCGTATTTGCCCCGCGTAAACACCGTGGCTCCGCAACCCACTAATGCTGGTGTATTCGGCATTACTCTTATTACGGGTGTTTTTTCTGGTAGTGCCTGAAAAACATTTGCTCCAGTATGTCGTTATACATATATGTATATATTTTTTTCATTACGACTAGTTTGTACGTATAAATTATCATGTGGCGAAAATAAATTCTCATTCAAAGAAAAAAAATTTTTTAAATCCAATAAAGAAAAGGCCAATGATACGAACTGATCGCAAGGATAGCAATAAGAAATATAAAGATATCAAGAAAATATTGACCGTCTTTTTCCTTATTTTTAACTTTCCAATTCGATTTTCTCTATTAATTATTGTGATAATAAATTATTAATAAATTATAAAAATAAATACTAAATTAATAATATACATATACTCTAACAACACACATATCCAAAAAATGTTTAGAAGACATTTAGAGGATGTTCAGATGTCCTTTGAATATCCTCCAAACGTCTTTCAGACATGTTATGCTGTTAGGGTATAAACAATAAATTATTACAATAAAGATATTTTACCTTTTCTAATGAGGTCAAAGAGACACCCATGGCGATGGAGATCAGTAATTTCTTATTGTCGCGTATCTCTGGCAGAATTTTTGGTACGACTTGCGGCTTCACCGATAAGATCAGCACGTCACCATACTCTATGACTGGAGCATTAGTGAAAACAGTATTGGATCCCATTTCCTAAAGATATTATTAATTATCTCGCAATGAAGTTTAAATGTATCTATCTTATAGCGAATTCGATTGGATGCACCAGTGCGCACTGAGTGCCTATAAAGGTTTATCACACACAAGTTCACAATGACACAAGTAATTAAAAAAGGAAAATAATTAATAGTAAGAGCTATTATTATTATTACTTACTATTAATTATTTTCCTTTTTTAATTACTTGTGTCATTGTGAACTTGTGTGTGATAAACCTTTATATGCACTCAGTGCGCACTGGTGCATCCAATCGAATTCGCTATTAATCATCCAATTAAAATGATAACAAGGACTCGTTTTTTTCTATAATATTCAGCAGCTTCTATAATAAGTATTTTTAATCACATTATATTGATTATATATAAAATGCAAATGCACACACATACATATCTTTTTCCTTCATTATATTATACATATTTAATCAATGTTATTTATCGAATCTGGAAAATTTTGAATTTACATTCAATAATATAAAACTCGAATATTCCTTTTCTTTGTTAAATGTTTTTGATATATCACAAAGAATTTACAGCGCCGATTTATCATAAATTACGAGTCTTATCATTTGCGAGACTTTCTTATCGAACACTGTAGTATAAACAAAAGAAGTGTTCTTCAACTTATTGTCGGCCTTTAAAAATTATATAACGATAGCAAAAACTATCTCACTTTAAATGTTTCGATGCTTCCAATATCGTTTGGAAGGCAACTGGCCAGCATCATCTCGCCTTTGCTTAAACCTGTAAAATAAAAAACATGTAAAAAGATGCGAACAGATCTGAAACATTGTTAATAAATTTTGGTCTAAATGAATCTATGAATTTTGAATGTATTATATAACATACATATGTATGTGTGTAAATATAATTTTTATTTATATAATCGATTACATGATTAAAAAATATCGAAATTAAATACATTAAGAAAAGAAAAAGCTATCTATCGTTATTAAAATATATTGATTTTTATAAAGAAATGAAAATATATGATTTACCTGTCCGTATGAAACCTCTGGCGAGGGCCTGAGCCATTTTTCCTCCGCCAAGAAAGCCGATTTTCAACATGTTGGTATTGATGTTTAACGGTATTCTCTGTTTCTTCACTTCGCCATCCGCGAGAAGTTGATCGCTCACTGTGAAATACAAATGAAAACATTATTATCACTCTCATATTCCGCAATAACACACTAAAGAACCGACAATGAGCAAAATAACAATGATAAAAGAAAGGATGCGATTTAATTAATCACACGGATTATTTTTATAACAACAATAAAAAAAATTACGTTGAATCCACTTTGTTGTACGAATGATTAACTATCTCTGCTTTTACTCGTTTCCATACTAGTTGCAACACTCGTATTTAGTCTTTATGCCGCGATATGAATGTGCACGCGCGCGATAAAACACGGCTAGATAAGTTCACAAGTTTTATGCTGCTTGCCAAGATCAGTCTCTTATTTAAAAAAGCGATGTTTATATATCTCGCATCTCTTTCTACATCTTCCGCGCACCATTTCCCGTTGTTTTCTACGGCTTTTTATTTTTATGTAATCTCATACGAGAGATAACGACAACCTCGTGCGTTATATATGTACGTTGCATTCAGCTGGAAAACGCGGTTGACCTCTCTTTTAACCGCCAAACTCATTCGGTCGCACTTTAGATTGATTTGTAGTACAGTTTCTGAAGCATGTATATTTCTGTCCGTCTCTAGCGTAATAATAAACAAATATTAAATCAACTTCTCCGCGACTATAGTCAGAAGTTTGTGGTCATTTTAACGGATGATTGTTATTGCTATTACTGCCTGTGGTCTTACCCTTGTCAATCAGAATGACATACAATCAAAATAGAACCACATGCAGCATTATTTTAGAATCTTGATACACAAAAGTTCACTTTGCCTATATAAAGCATATTTAAATGTAGAATACATTTTTGTTCTACATTTGTTCTACTTTATAAAATCACACTATACAATATGTACACACACACGCACACAAAATAGACATTATATTTATACTTACCAAACTTGCGCACGTTTAAAATCCGCCGAACACGACGGTTTAATTTCATGAAAGCCATTGTTTTCAAACCAACGCTCATCTTCATGTTTGCTTTTCGCGATTAATGTGAATAGGCGTTCAATGAGTTTAAAAAATCTTTGTTGATTTGATTTTTGCAAACTTGCAGATTCTGAAAAAATACAGTGTCATAAGATAATTAGTGTAATTTTTTTATATGATAAATCTCCTATAATAGTTTTTTACGTCGATGTACATACGTACATTAATGTGTCAATGAAATTACATTATTTATTTACATTAGTCCATATAGTATTGATAATTCTATAAGAGATATAGAAATATATTATTATGTAACTTATTATCACAGATTTCAATACTATTTATTAATTTTAATATTTATATTATATTAATTACTGAATATTTATATTATATTAATTACTGATTTAACATAATATATAATATTAATACAAGATACTAGTATTAATTCTCTTTATAATTCAATTATAGAGTTTGACTAAAATACATCTTCCAACAAGTTGCATCGCGTGACATTTGCAAGATTCTCTTCTTGCATCTTATGATAATAAAGCAAACACATATAGGTTCCTCGCGAGTTAATTACATAATGTTATGTGCCATAATGGAAATATGAAATACTCACATGTTTTTGTTATATACAGAAGGAAATATAAACGAAATGTATAGATGATGTCGATATGGTTTGATTGACTAAATCAGAAGGTTACTGCTCCGATCGTAATCATCGACGATACGTTTCCGTTGACAATGATCTCATTACTATACCTATCTATACTTTTGGTCATTCTTATATAGGTATGTTTCACTCACAGCCTATCTGCTACGGAAAATTACTTGTTTGTGTATCCGATTAAAACTCATTGACAAATACGGTCACCGATTTTTTTTCACCGCACCCCTCGATGTGGATTTTAATGAATAGAGAGTTAATGTATTTTTAAGTAATCTATATAATAATTCACGACAAAATTCCATTTATATAATTTTATACATCATACACGTTTTTTAATGTATATCTTTACCCTATATATATAATATTTTGATTTACATATATGTGTGTGTGTGTGTGTGTAAATCAAATAATTATATATATATATATATATATATGAGTAGTAAAATTGCAACATGTATTAGCAGGTATATTTGAATGTAAAGTCACTCTATATATATATATATATATATATATATATATATATATATATATATATATTATATTGTCTCTCTCTCTCTCTCTCTGTATACATTATCTAAAGAAAAGATACCTATAATTGATCTGATTATAAGATTTAGAGTGACTTTACATTCAAATATACCTGCTAATACATGTTGCAATTTTACTACTCATTTACTATTCATTTGCAATTTTTCTGATTAATATTTAACAATTATTACTACTTATTGTAAACGGTAAAAAATAAAATTTGTTAAAGATATAAAAGAAAAAATTGCCTAAAAAAAATATACATTTTAAATAATATACATATAAACTTTAGTAGATGCATATATTGCATCTATATACTAATCATATATTGCATTAGTATAGATGCATGCATATTTTGTGTGTGTGTATGTGTAAAAAATTCAAAAGAGAGAATTCCGGAAATTAAAAAGAAACTTTTTACTTATTTCTTTTCCTTTTTTCATTCTTCTTTTCACTCTTCTCTTTTCCTCCCTCATTTAAAATTTTTTTCCTTCTTATTATTTAAAATTTTTTTAAATTTATTGACAAGACTGATTTAACTTGCATTGATCATAGAATGTACAGATGTCGCTAAAGGTATGTAGATTTCTCTAGTTACTCTAGTAGATCTCTAATATAATCTTAGAGATCTCCAGTAAAAACATGGCTGGAATTGTTAATATGGATAAGAAGGATAGGTAGGAGGAGATATAGAGGGAGGAGATAAACGCAAGCAAAATGCATCAGAATTTAGAATGTGATCTTATTCAGTTTCTTTCGGATAGATAGGCACGATTTGACTATATACTTGAAAGAGGAGAAGCAATTGTTTCATATTCACACTCTTGCTTTTCTATTTTTTCTACATTGCTTTTTTTCAAAGCAACATGTAATTGAGGAAACATGTTTTACTTTATATATAGCTTTTTCCTTCTAGCACATCTTTCTCAAGATATCGCTCTTGTCAGCTGCGATACAGTGCTACGACGACAGTGCTTAATCTATTATATAAGTCTCTACGGTTAAATGAACTTTGGTCGATGCTCTTGGAACTTGCTTACATGCTGAACTTTACTTTCAATGTGTCAATAAACGAAAATAAGATGCAATATATATTTTATTTAAATATTATGCATAATATAATTTGTAAATAACAATTATAGTATTTTTATCTATATTGCTTATATAATTATTATAATCTAATACAGCATTTTTCTATGATTTAAGTAATTTTTTGATCAAACGATAAAAAAATTGACTAAAAATAACATACTTTAAAATGTTTTAAAAAGCTAACAAAAGTATGTATTAAAGTGTTTATATTTTAGTCTAATTTATATACTTATGATATATGATGATCGTTTCTATTAATTGAAAATCATAAAATATTTAAATTATGTTTTAGTTACAAACGCTATAAAAATTTGTATTAAATATAGCTGCATCCACAAAATTGTTTTTTTTTTTTCGTTTAAATAACTTTAATTTTATTCATGAAATTTCTGAATATATCATTGCATTATTGGCAATATACATAGAACATTTCATAATTTGATTGTGAAATATATATTTATCGAAAGAAATATAGAGGAAAAAATTATTATCGCTGTAAAAAAGGCATCTAAATTTACTAGTACATTTGCATTTATAATTTATTACAACGTGCGAAACACATTGTATGATAGACAGTCGTATTTAATGAATGCTTTATGTAATATTCATGTGATAATTTAAAATTTACATAACTCAAGAATATATATACATACATCTACTTTTTTATAGGATTAAATGCATGTCTTCATCATTTTATCATTGAACTTTCCTCCTTTTTTTAGACTTTTATAAAATATATTATTCATGCACATTGCTATATCACTGCGTAGATATACTTAGAAGCAACTTATATAATCTTTGATTGCATCAAAAAAGAAATCAATTAATAAGTTTATTTTGTAACAAATGGAAAATTATTTACTGAAAAATATTTAACCAAGATAAATATTTTCGTATCTGCATCTTTGCGAAAATCATTATTCATGTTGTATTGATTATAAAAAATATTAAGATAATGAAACTGTGAATTAGGCTATAATATCTAAAAAATATTGCGTTATATTATATTGTTTCAAAATGCGATAATATATGCATTTAAATATGCGATTTACATGTAATTTTTTTACTAGAAAAAAAACGTTTACATTTATGTATACGCGTATATATGCAATTGCATGAAAATTAATTTTAAAATAAAAACTGCATGACGCAAATGAGTTAAAGTGGTTTGCTGTAAAATATAACATATATATTATTATTAGTATTGCGTTTTTTTATATGCGAATTTTATTGAAAGAATTCATTAAAATCGTATTATAATCAAAATTGCAAATTGAAAAAAATTGAAGAAGCAAAAAGTATAAAAGAAGGAAAGAAACAACTTCGGAGGGAAACATTAATTTATTAAATTAGTACTTTGTTGAAAGAGAGAGAGAGGAACCTATATATGTAATGTGTGTTTTTATGCGATAATTTTTTATATCCTTATACAAACACACACACACACATAAAATAGATTTCGCGTGAAAGATTATATAAATGATTACAAATAAATTTCAAGAATTGTTATCACTCAGAATTGTTATCGTTATATGCATATAATACGTATTTATAATCAAAGGATTAACTCGGACAACTTTCTAAATATCTAATACAAATAGGAAAGAGGAAAGCGGAAACATTGCGGAAAAAGTAGAGAGTTCGCAATAATGAGAGAAAAAACAAGAAACTATAATAATAGACTCGTATATACAGGGTGTCCCATAGGAAATTGCCGAAACTAATCAGCTGTCATTTTTTAATACATGCAGTTATTGAGAAAACAAAAATTGTGTTGGACAGAGGAAAGTCTGCAGTTTTTAATGGATATAAATAAAATATTTGTATAATAGTTTATTTTATTGATAAAAAGTAATGAAAAAAGTGCTAATAAAATCACATAAACTAATAATAAATATTTTCAACAGTGCCAGATTTAATAACAGCTATTAAAAAGGATCATCAATAACATTAAAAATGACATGTTGGAAAAAGTTTTTACGAGTTTTCGTAAAAGAACAGAATTTCGTACCAATTCAAATGGTGCATGCGCACTTCGAAAATATTTATCATTACTTTACATATATGATTATTCGCATTTTTTCATTACTTTTTTTCAATAAAATAAACTGATATACAAACATTTTATTTATATCCATTAAAAATCGCAGACTTTCCTCTTTTTAACACAATTTTGGTTTTCTCAATAACTGCACGCATTAAAAGATGACAGCTGATCAATTTCAGCAATTTTCTATGGGACACCCCGTACATGCGTGCGTATATCTCGTGCACGGCGTCGACGCGCGTAGTCGCGCATCGCGCATCGTGCATTGCGCATCGTGTTGCGCATCGTGCACACACATACGCGAGCTGATGGCTGAAGGAGTGTGAGAGGCGCAGTTAATACGTTCGCGCTACGTACCGGCCGTCAGTCGGCGACGATCACTCGGCGTGAAAATGAGTAATCGTTCATGAATATTCCATTTCGCGTGACCTTGTATCGTGCAGCGTTATATCTGACCGTGAATTTCAGTTCGTGCCGACTATTGTGAAAACGAGATCTTGAGCTCTATCATTTCGCCTCTCCTCTCCCTTGTTTCTCTCTCGGTCAACGTGATCTATATCTGTTGATATACAACTCGACATCGGCAAATAAGACGGTATAACAAGATGCTTTAGAAACTCGTGTCAAATCTGATCTTGTTTGCCGCGTGTGAGTTGTTATCGTTAGCGCGAATCTGGCACGACGTATCACTCGAGCTTCCGATTGCAACACAAACATACGGATGCAATAAGACGTCACGCTTCTTCTAAATGTACCACTCGGTGCAGCGCCGATAATCGTGGTATCACGTGGCCAGCGTTATACATATCTCATTTTGTCATCGTCATTCTGTTGTCATTACTGTCGATCACAGTGACAATGCCCGCGCAACTCAGCAAGTTATCGATCGACGCAGCCTGCATGGATTTCGCACACCCATGGACAGACTCGTGCGTTAGCGCGACCGCTGGTCTTGGTTTGCACACTTTGCAGGAATCCTTCAAGATATACGCGACTGTTTACATAGTACGTCATCGCATTTCTTCTTGTTTTTTTTTTTTTTTTTTTTTTTTTTTACGTCACATGTATATTTAGAATTCTATCAATTTTTGTTTTTTCTATCAATGTTCGAATATTTTCGCATACATACATATATATATGTATCTTGAAATATACATTATTTTATTATGTACACGCACATGGATATGAATACCCATTTGCCAGATATTTATATTTCATAATTAATATTGTCCCAGTTGTGCGAGATCATAACTTTTAAGCAGGTACATTAACAAGACAATGGCAGTACGCTAGCACTCACATTGGTGCACGTACACCTGCATTGGTACGCGTGCACCGAGCATGGGGGGAATGTCCGATGCGTTTGGTGCACGTGTTTAGAGCATATGTTCTCGGAGTGCACAAATTTCGCGTTAATACGTACGTCCTACATTCGACGCATTTAAGCTGCATTTATGCTCGTTTGTGTCATAATCCGATGACATTTCAAATCGCGATTGTTTATTATTATTATTTTATACTAATTTATGTCGTACAAAAGAACTAAGATTCAAGTGTCACAATCACTTTTAATATTAAACGTATCGCAGATTACGAAACAACAATCTTTGTCCTCATTTCTTTATATTTCGCGAATGTATATAAAGTATGTTGGATTTAGCTTATTCTCTTTATTTTCCTACTTGATTCAATTTAATTTTTGTAATGCCTTGAAAATCTTTACTTACGCACTTGTATTAGTTATACTCTATTCTGTACGGCTATATTTTTTTAATTAAAAATTCCTTCTCTTTTATATTTATTTTATTTTATATATAAATTTCGTAAAAGAATAAGTATTAAAGAACACGTAGATAAACGGGTTAAATGTGTAAATGTGTATAACAAGTATTGTTTTGAATATATAATTGCGTTACATAAGAGAAAAATACACACAGTTTTTCAACAATTTTATTTCTCAATATATTCTGTAATTGAATATTGTGTGTTACATTTACATATATATTTCATTTCAAACGTATCTGAAAGAAATTTATCAGATTTATTTATATATATTATAAAATTTATTCAATAATATACACTTTTAAACGATGCAAATATTTGACATGTTAATGATATTAAAAATATTCATGATATACTTTAGGAATTTACAATTCTCGTTTTTGTTCGTGTTGATTAACTAATGGATATTTGCATTTATCGAGTATTTTTGTCGAGGTTCATTTTTATAATCTATCTTTACCACAGTATTGTTATAACATTGTTATTAAATAGTTTACGATGGTTTTGTCTATATGCTCTATACGAATGCAATGTATAAGCGATAATTTATTAATCTATGAGCTAAATTTTTTTGTGCGAATATATAATGTATATTTCATTTAAAGATGAAACCCATTTGATTTCTACTATAGCTATAGTATATATTATATTAATAATTTTTATTTTTTGCCGGTGTTTCTACTGTTGTCTGTTACAAAATTTGTACACTTTTGTCAAATATATTATCTCGACAGATTTGGCTATCTGTTAGCTTTTTAAAATTAACATTTTCATGAAAAATAAAAATAAATATAGCACAGAAGATTAGATTTGTCAAATAATAAATCTATGAACGAATATAATCGCGCTTCTTTTTTTATATTTAATTTTTGTATGTTATTAGAATAATTCATTTCTCAAATTTCACATCTTTTTCACAATTCTTTATTGCAATGTGCAACTTGTATGATAAAATATAAATAATTTTAGTTTAAAATATTAAATTTTCGCTCTCTATTAATACCTACTTTTATTTCTGTAATTTCAGATTGCATTTTTAATGAAAAGAAAGATACCATCGAAAAGAGATATTCAGCAAACTATATTAGGTATTCTCCAATCTACAGCCTTTCTTTCATGGAGTGGTTTTTCTTATTCATTATTTATTTGTTTATTAAGGTGAGAAAAATATTACACATTACTGTTTATTATATATATATATATATATATATATATATATATATATATATATGATATAATTAATATAATTAATAATTATTTCAGGCGAATATTGGGACGTTTCTACTTGCCGACTGTATCTTTCCTTCCATCCTTTTTGTCTAGCTTATCTGGTATTGTGATAGAAAGAGCTTCTAGGCGTACATTATTGTGTCTCTATGTGTCCAATATTGTAAGTAGATGTTACAACAATCAAACAGCAAATGCATGTTTTTAACATTATTTTTCCTCAGGCAACAGAGACACTGTTCAGAATGGGTGTATGGAGAGGATATTTTTCACCTATTCCAAAAGGAGAGGTCTATATATTTGCTGTAAGCGTAGCTGTGTTATTGTACTTTTTCCGTTCAAAAATAAATAAGCAGGATCAAATATATAAAATACTTAGGTATTCACAGATTTATATTTTATCTATTTATACATCTGTTTTATATATTTATATATCTATTGTTTTTCTATAGTATACTATAATATATGTGTTTAAAATATAGGATAATTGTTGGACAATACGAAGAGGCTGAATATTGTACAAAGAAAAATTTTGAAACATCTTCAAAAAATACCGAAACTGTCGACGCACAGAATGACAGAAATATACAACGAAGTAGTTCTCAAAAATATATATTTAATATTCTACGAAAATCTTTTGAGACATACAAATATATCATTAACATCTTGAAAACGCAGAGTAAACATGCCACGTGTCCACATCCTTATAGCTGTGCACACTATATTTTAATGGTAAGACTCACAATATATATGCATATATTCAATATTTTTATATTTATTCGTCGAAAATTTATTTTTTGTATTTTTCTTATTTAAAGGATAGTGCAAGAATTTTCAGTTATGGTGTTTGCGGCCAAATAGCACTTAAACTAATCTTCCAATTTAAAAGATTACTTCAGAAACCAAAGTTACTAAAAACCACCATTTTTCAAAGAGGAAATCTAAACCTGGCTATATTCCTCGGAGGGTTTGCTGGTCTTTACAGGGTATATATCTTACACTGCATACTCCCTCTTATTCTCTCTTTTTTATATGAAATATGGAAAATATCAAATGATATTTGTAATAATAAATATCTTTCACGAGTAATTATTTTCGCTTTTCTCTTTTTTTTATGGATAGCTAACGTCATGCTTATTGAGAAGAGTCTTTCATAAAGATTCACACACTTTTGCTATTCCTGCTGGACTTGTCGCAAGCATAACATTTATGGCATATCCCAACACTACTGTGGCCTTATATTTCATGTGGAAAGCATTGCAGGTATTATTATTTTTAATATACATCGTTTTCCTTAATATCAATTCATAATGTGCAAATTTTTTGTGATTATTTGTAACCACCACTTGTTTTGCTTTAGCTATTATGGAATGATGGGGTAGAAAATGAAAAACTACCAGAAATAAAATGGTTCGTGATTTTTTTATATTGCTTTAGTACAGCCACTCTCTTTCATGCAGCTATAATAGAACCACAAAACTTGAGATCATCTTATTGGAGGTTCCTTTACACTATGTCAGGTGGAAGGTAAGTCTCTTGTGGTGTGGTACCATAACAGAAATAATTTTATATTGTCATACTGTGTATATTATATGTATATTATTTTATTCGAAATCTTATTTTGACTTATCGTCCTCATTTTGTGTATTGATTCTAGAATAGCGGCGATGTCTCGGCTACCTTTAAATATGTTTGGTTTAGAAACCAGCAAGAATTTACAAGAAGTGCTCAGAAAAACAAAGACAACAGATCAAATTAATTATTCTTTCTAAAGTGCTCAGGACAACAACAAATGACAATATAAATATATATCTTAGTTTTTATTTTTTTTTTTTTTAAATATAATTTTCTAGAACCAAAGAAAACAGAAAGAGAGAGAAAGAGATACAGGTACAGAATCAGCATATGCACACTGTATTATTTGAATTTACAACTATAATTGCGCGTATAAAAATGTAAAAATCTAATTCTGATGCAATAAGTTGTGAAATGAAATGTATCTCTTAGCACAATTTTTAAATAATATATTTTTTTTAATCTAATATAAATAATGGTGCTTGGATGTTGTGATACTAAAGGAACTTAATACTTTATATATAAGAAGAGAAAAACTATACAACTTAATATATTTAAATGTATATGTGGTAATTAAGTCAAGAAAATAAGTGAATGATATATTTATGAGTGGGTGTGACATATGTATCTAAACATAAATGTGTTCGAATGTGTAGTGAGAAACTTTCTCCTATATTTCTGCAATATATTATAAAATAATTATTTTTTGTCATTTAAATTGTAAACTTGATATTTATCATTTATAATGTAAGCATATACCAGAAAGGGATGGATTTATTTTTTAATCAATTTTATTATAAATACATTAACTTATTTGTTGAAAATGCAAGTAATTTGTGATAAATTATATAATATTCTATTATAAAATGTCTACGCGTTCACATTGTCTATTTTTTTTGCTATTTCTAATGCTCTATTCATTATAGCGTCCGTGATACTCTTATCGCGTTTTCTCTCTATTCTCTTCTTTTTTCGCAATATGTTTTCCCATTTGATACGACTTTGCATTCTTAAACTTTTACGATTTATAATGCCAGCGATTATTTGCGAATCCAAAATTGAAACTGAATGTTTTGAGGGATTTAGTTTGAGTGGTTCCAAACTCTTTAACGAATCCATCTGCCACGGCAATAATCCAATGGGGCACTCGATCCATTGATCAGAGAAAATAGTATCTAGTAAAATCAAGAAAATATTTAATATTATTGATCTTTCACATTAATTTATAAAAAAAACTTGATTGAATATAAACGCACCAGATGCTTGCTTCCAATGTAAATTGCGGATTATCTGATCGGTTAATAAATAAGCAGTTTTCTTTTTAATTGTCTGTTCTTTCTTGTATATTTTTACTTTACTTCTTGTTGCATTGAAATCTTCGACAGTACATATTTTCCGTTCCTGGATATCATTGTTGCTGTCTTCATCATTATACTTTTGGAATGTATAAATTTTAAGTAAATTTGACAAATGTTTTTTCGCCTGCACATTTATTCTTGATGAAACAAACTTAAAAATTGGTTCTATTAATCTTGCAGAAAATTCGTTTACATGTAATAAAAGTTTTGATAAAAAATTTATATCAATAAGAAAATGCGGTATGGTGCTCGATATATCTAACCACAAAACATTCCGCAAATAAGGATGACCATCATGTACCAACTTTTTAAGATGCTGATTTAGAGTCGACTTTGCAACCGGTTTTGTAACATCCTTTGTCAGCTTATATTCCATATTACGAGAAATCTTTTGGGCCAAATCTAATTGAATAAAACTATGGACGATGGAACTTATCCATAAGGTTGCAAGAGTTCTTTTTTCCTTACTTTCTTGTTCTTGGTTTACGATATTGAGCAGCTTAAACATCAGTATATCTAATATCTTTTTGTTATGCAACAAGAAAATGATATCTTTCCAAAATTGAAGCATACCAGGTGGTAAAATCTTTCTTTTTAAATCAATATTTTTTCTTCCTTTTTGTTGAAAAATTTGTCCAATATCTGAGTTTGGTAGAAAAGCTTCGTTTTTCAGCAACACATTGCAAATTATATCCTTCTTGTGTATCAAAGATTTATTTTCAACTAAATGCATAGATATCTCTGATAAAAGTAAAGCTCGCGCAGCTTTTAAATCATATTCCTTATCAATCTTTATAGTTTTTCCTTGAATGGATATATATTCATTGTGATCATTGTTTGATATTTTATCGCTATATTGGGAACACATGTATGTGCGTAAATCTTCTAATATTTCCCTGAAATAGTTTTCCTGATTTAATATTAAAATAAATTCAAAGATAAAATCTTATCTATACATGACTGAATTCCATGTGGAATTATTGTGTTAGAAAGAAGAAAAACCTGACAATAAATTTCATATTTATTTTACAACAAAAATATGTACATACCGTAATTGTACCTCTGGCAAATTTGATACTAATTTATAACCAGCATCGATATATAAATTGACTGCTGTCCAAAGTTCAATTAAATCTGTTAAAGCCTGCACCTCTTTGGTTTCTTCTTTTTCTTCTTCTAACATATTAGCTTCTTCCATATAAGATTTTTCTATCGCACATGCCTCAGCTGCCCAATATTCATCCTTTAAAAAATAATATTTTAAAAGCACACAATATTATATATAACGCTATATTCAAAATAGATAAACATACATGTAACCAGTGAAGCAATATATTAATCGCTATCCTTAGTACTCCAATGGAAGGTAATTCATATCCATGAGCAGTCTGATGCCTTAACATAACTATCCATTCTGGAATTTTGAGTTGCTTGGCAATCTGAAATAGAGATGTCTGTTTCGTGTGTCCTATATTGCAAAAATGATTCAAAAATCTCATGATGGTGGTCGAGTACATCAAACTCAAATCATTCTCGTAATACATCGGCAGTTCGCCGCTATCAATTTTGGGTGTCCATTCACGATCACGAAGACACACTTGCAAAATCGATAAGGTACAGTCCACACCCACTGGTAGTTTCGGCATTCTGCAAAAAAGTTTCCTTTTGAATTGTTTCTCACGATCAAGATTTCAAGTGTCTCACCATTAAATTAAATAATGCGCAATCGATCGTTATACCTGGTTTTCCATGCTAAAAGCGTTTCGTATGCTTTCGTTTGTTCGTTTACGTCGTTGGAGTAAATTTGCCTGTACACATCATGCCATTCCGTTCTTAGAATAGCAACAAATAAATTTGATTATTTAACGTATTTTATCATTTTATTTATCATGTTTTACATCATTTAAATTAATACTTACAGAGAAAACCAAGGCACTTGCTTTATATCATAACGTTTCGCAGTCAATGCCATTGTCTTTGCTCTATATATTTATGTCCTATCTACAAATTTGGCTACTTTTTCTTCTATTATTAAAGTTGCTTCGATAGAACTCACATCCATTTATTAGACACAATAGCTCGCTTTCTTTTCTACAGGTAGGAAAATTTATTCCAATTTATTTCTTGGAGCTTGGAGTCACATGGAGTGGAATTGCGTTCGAAGGAAAGAACACTTTCTTAAGGCACCTTTTCATATCGACGCTCATTTTTGCGTCAAAAGACGTCGAATGGTTTGTTCAATTTTTTTCGCTTCGAAATTTAATATTTAATATTTTTCCTATTGTGCGCAGGGCCTAATGGACCAACCAGGTCGAAAATATTTTGCGCTTCGAAGCTTTTGATTGGTCAATCGAGTTCTATGCTACTCCAAGGAGTAAATTTTCGAACGCAACTCGAGCAGAGTCGATTCGAAGCCGAGTCGAGCCGAGCTGAGCCGAGTCGAGTCGAGGCAAGCCGAAACGAACCGAGACTAGTCGATGCCAGTCGAGCCAATTCAACTGTAATTACGACACGACTACTGAGAAGGTAAGGGACACGTTAAACATGGCGGAAGCCGTTGTGGACGGGAGTCCAATGTCCCGATTTTTTTGCCATAAATGCAGCGTCGAAATTGAGCGTTTATTGCCAGTAAGTACTATGCAACGTTTTTCGTGACAATTGTCTACTTGTTGGGATGTTTCGATGCGCGTAAATCCGCGTAGATGCATCGTAAAAAGAATGTTCCGAGAAACTGTCACTTGTACTATGTCATGTGCGAGAAGTTCGTCTCTCCCACCCAGTATTCCTATCAAAAACAATACTTTGATCTATCTTTCGAGCCTTTATGTCAGGCGACAAATCAATACCATCGCGTGTTACAATTGCGTAACCATTTTGTTTTTCTGTTTCTTTTTATCTTTTTCTAATAGCATTCCGAATTTTGTAATCTTATTTATCGTGATAATCGTATGGAACGAATTGCATTCGTGACAATCTTTTTATGAACGATTCTTTTCTAAAGAATGTATAATGTTCTCACGATCGTTATTTGCGATCAAAACTTGGCATTCGAATGAAATATAATATACTTTGATTAACCTTTAAATTACTTCAGACATGTATATATTTGTTTGCAATTTGAGTCTTTCAGTTTCAGCCAAATATATATTTGCATGATCTGATTGATTCAATTGTGTATTCTATATATAGAATTGTTAAGGCGCAAAAATATTATATCGATTTAATACAAAATGTATACTAGATTTTCATTTTAATATATTATATATACAAATTATATTTTTTGTGTGCCCTGCATTTTTTAATATTTTTTTACATTTAAAATGATACCTATATCTTTATAGCTTTAGTGTGTGTGTGTGTGTGTGTGTGTGAGAGAGAGAGAGAGAGGGGGGGAGGAGTGGGAAAATTTACAAAGCTCACTCAATTTTTTTTTAACTAATAAAATGAGATATAGCTATTTTTCATATTTTCTTATGTATTATTACTACTACTATTAATATGCCACTACTCAATTTTTTTTTAACTAATAAAATGAGATATAGCTATTTTTCATATTTTCTTATGTATTATTACTACTACTATTAATATGCCACTACTATTATTATTACTATGTTGCTACTACTATTACTATTACTATGCAAAAAACATACTATTATGATAAAAAATATATTTATTTTACATTTTAAATTTGTCTTTTGTTTAACTTAAATACATATAATGTGTGTTTGTATGCATACATGGACATACATATGTATGTATGTATGTATTCAAACAATAAGTCTATTAATCTTGCAACTCAAAATAAAATATTAAATATAGACTTGTATGATTAATATTTTATTTTTAATTAGAATTACACGTGTCCACGATGCGCATGTGGATTTATCGAAGAGCTGGAAAGTAGCAGCAATGAGGGTAGTTCAGGCATGGATGTGAATAGCGAAGATCTGAGCGATGTAGATGTCGATATCTTAGGATACAATGTGAGTAATTTAGAGTCAAAAATTATTTATCTATAATACAAAAATATTAGTTATTATTAACATTGTCTAATTTAACAGCCACAGCGCTCCGAACGTGACCTAATAGAAATGATAATGGGACTTTCAAATACATATACCAATCAACAATCAAGTACCAATCAACAATCGAACACAGGCAACAGAAACTATGTGCTTGGAAGTAGAAGAAGATCTAATTGGTCTCGATCTTCTCAAGATGGGCGTCGTACCAGCAGGTATGCCATGTTTCTTAACATGCCATCAGAGAGTATTGATATTACATATTTAGTGATATAATTTTTTTTTTTTTAATATTACTAAATTTGGAGAATGGAGTACCTTCTTTTCCTTTTTTATTTTTATTTTTATTTAGTAAAATATGGATGTACTTATCAATCAATTTTAACTTTTGAACATTATGATAGCATGACAAAATCTGCAAAATTTTTTTTAGATCCCAGAATAAAATTTTATTGTAATTCTTTTTATTATTAATGTATATATTTTTCTTTAATGCTTATTAATTAAAAAAAAGAAATAGTATTCATTCTAACTCAGCAACAATATACATATGAAATAAGTGTTTGATTTATATGAGTTTTGTAAATCAATTTTAAAATAGGCTACCTGCCTGGTTGTTGGGGCATTACATATGTACAAATTTGTAACAAATTATTAAGATAATAATTTTGATTTTTTTTATTGGTAGCAATCGCAGAAGACAAGAGAGCCTACAGGTACCTATAGAGAATTTCATACAAGATTTTATCTTCAATCTTTCTGGAGCAGCAAGTCTAGGCAACTCTGTAGGACAAGAAGCACAACCCTCTGTGTAAGCCGTTCTTTCTGCGACAATTATTCTAATACTAGCATATAGATATAGACATCATATTTCATGAGCATGAAAAATAGATAGGTCAATGTTTTCACATTATTCTAATTTACATGTTCTCTCGAAAAATATATTTTATTCTAATAAGTATAATAAGTACTCCATTTTAATTTTTGAATATATTATAAATGAATAAGCTATTTCATATAAAAAATTTCATATTTATTTCAACTCAAATTTTCTCTAGAAATGTTCATATTTTTATAACATTTTATAACATCGTGTCCCTTACATATATAATATTATATGTATGTGCATCTTCAAAAATGTGTACAAATTGTCATGTTAATATGCTTGTTCAACAGTGTCAACCAGACAGTATAAATATTCAAAAAGTTCATTCATCCACAATGGGAGCACAAGTCATTACCAATTTTATTTAATTTTTAATGTTACTAAAATAAACAAAATAATGTAGATTCAATGTTAGACTGTTCTTGGGAAATCCTGGAGATTATGTTTGGGGTCGCGATGGATTAGATGCTATTGTTACCCAATTATTGAATCAAATGGACGGTACCGGACCTCCACCTTTACCGCGCAAGCAGATTGACGAAATACCTACGACAACTATATCGCAAAGTCAAGTTGGTTAGTATATGATCAATATTTAATTTTTAATTTTTTATTAATAATTTTTTTCCAATAATACATTTATTATATTTATATCGTAATTATTTGATAAATTTTTTAGTCATTGAATAATCTTTTTTTTATTCTTTGTGCAGACTGTAAGCTACAATGTTCCGTTTGTTGGGAAGATTTCAAGCTATCGGAACCGGTTAGACAGCTACCTTGTCAGCATGTTTATCATGCACCATGCATTATACCTTGGTTGGAATTAGTAAGATTGCAAATTTTATTAATAATGTATGCGTGCGTGCGCGCATATATGTTAACACTCAGATATAAATCTTAATGATTTGATTTCTTTATTTTCTAGCATGGAACTTGTCCCATTTGCAGACAAAATTTGGGAGATCAGAACTCAGTTGAAGCGAATCAAGATACTGGACCTAACTTAGCCGGCAGTGCTTTGGCCGGATCCAGTTTTGCCGCTTTATTCAGGTAACTTTTTTGATAAATATAATATTTACAAATTTGTATTTTCTGCAATCTATGTAATATCAATTCTCAGTGTTAGTATTTTGTGAGTGGTTTTATCTTTTTTTTTTGTTTGTTTTAAGTTAGATATTACTCGACGCAAAAAATATTTTATATTATATATTAACAATCGATAAAGAACTCTGAATCAATACAAGTCATCATGTTGTCTACTTATAATAGAGTTTTGATAAGTTTATCTGGGATTACTTTTTTATTTCTTCACACATTTTTATCGATATGTATTAATGTCGTGTTCTCTCCGTATCACAATGAACAGATTACATGACCTACACTCAGCTGCACTTTATGTGCTTGAAACGAAAGTACAGACATGTAGATAGTTCATAACTATTTCTTTTTACAATTTTTTTGCTCTCTTGCTCCATATTGCAAAAATTATCAGGGTTCTACTATGATTCATATTTATTTATTGGATATTTAATTTTCAAAAATATAAAAATAATACAGTTATTTGAGGAGATTCTTAAACAATATTTATTTGTGCAATTTCTTATTTTTTTCCTTTTCTATTTATAAAAATAATTGCAGAGTAATTGTACATATATATTGTATATATTACAGGGCAGCAAATGAAGCAAATCGGACAGGGCAACCAATCAGTCGAACATCGTCTTCTTCATCATCTACTTCATCAGAGTAAAAAGCTCCAAGTTCTTGTTCAAGTGAGATTTGACAGCGATTATTTTTCTTTTTATTATTCTGTTTCGTAATTTGTTTCGATCATTTCCACACATCATTTTCAACACACTCTGATATTTTTGACATTTTTTTGCTTTATAACAAGGCATATATCCCTTTATAGATGTCTCTTAACTATATTTATTACCAATTTTAAACCATGTCACAATTAATTAATATTGTTCCACTATAAAGTGTTTAAAAAATTAAAAACCGTCTTGTTTTACACTCAATAAATTGTATAATAAATAGACATCAGCCAAAATAGCAAAATCACAGATCAGATTAGTACATATTTCAGTTGTGTTGAAATTAAATTGGGTACTGTATTGTCTTATAATTTTTAGTAATTCAATCATTTGTATGTTTAGTATATGTAAATAACTTAACTTTGGAATATGCCAGACATTGATGAATTGTACATGCTATTATGTCTCAGGTAAAAGGAAAAGAGGAACTTTCACTTTATAATCTAATTCTGACAAAACACTGAAGACGCAACCTACGTAATTCTATTTATTAGGCATTGCTTATACATGGGCAGTTTCATTTTAAGTAGCATCTATTCAAACGAACTCAAAACAGATCTATATAGAAGATATGTATGTTATGTGTGTGATACTTATATAAAAATATAATTTTTACATCGCTATGTGTGCGTAAGGCTCAGTAAAATCGATAGCCTATAATATAACTTGTACAAATGAATTTAAAAATTCGCAATTTAGAAACAAGCTGATAAATTCAAATGATAAATGCAGTCCGATATATATTGCGATAGATATCGTGAATTTTTTAAACAAAGAAGCTTATTGAGAAAAAGTAGAAATTCCCCCTCCCCCCATCTCTCTCTCCCCCTCTCTGTAGAAATACACTTATATATTCACACTGAATATACAATCAACAGTCTAACAGAATATTTTAAAAAGCTGCTGGAATTAACATAAAACATTGATGGAGTTATTTTGTTCTTTCTTTCTTTCTTTATTCTGTATATAAAAAATACTCTTAAAATATTATGGAAAATATAAGAGAAAAAGAGTACTTTGACAATCATAATTATCTTCTCCATTTTTAAGTTTGATTGTCATAATATGTATATATACCTTGACAGTTTCCAAGTCTCGACGAATAAAGATACGAATGTGTAACAAATAAATTCGTTCAGTTTTCTTAATACGTAAAACCACTCGATACACAATTTCTTATGAAAATGATTTTTACAATACATATGATACGGCATGAATAAAATGCAGCCAAAATACGTAGTTTATCTGCATATTTCTATATTACAAATACTTGAAAAAAATGTGCACTCCCTCTTTCTCTCCCTCGTGAAGAGAAAAGCTCTTACATTTATTGTAGTTTGCAGCGATTCATAAAATTACATGTTGTATAAATAGATAAGAGATAGGATATAGCGTTTAGATATCATATGTAAATCTTTTGGTCAACGCGTTATCGCGTTTATGTCCAAAACGGTGCGTCTTCGCATTATCTATATCTATATATAAGCGACACACACAAGCATTCTGTTAGTATGTATATATATTTACACAAAAATATCACGCTATGCTAATGTGAGTGAGCGTCTATTTAAATTTTACGCTTTGCACAACGTTATATCCTTTTCTGTTCTATATAAAATTATTGCTTATTAAAAAAACATTTAAATAACTAAAAAAAACTCAGATACCAAAATAAAGTTAAGTTTTGTATATGCAAGGCTACTATCGCTATAGTTTATCTTTTAATAAAACAGAAAGCAAGAACCCCAATATAGGGAATGCATATATATAGGGAGCGATTATAATTTATCCACACGTAATTTAATTATATAGGTTCGTGTTTTAAAATAGAAAAAGATTCTTTACACTCTTGCAAAACCTTATATTAAATAAGATTCGCAAATTTGCATAAATGCGATACAGATCCAAAACAAGTAGAAATTTTTTAGAAATTAAATATCAACTTTTACGACACAAATGATTAATTGCGAAAATATGAAAAGTCGTTCACGCGAGTTTGAAAGTTGAATCTTTTTATTTTGTTCCACAGCGTATAATGCGGAAAACGTGTAAAAAAGAAAACTATTTGTTACAATATCATATTATATTTGAGAATAACAATTGACTCAATTATAAAATAAATATGAAATTGGTGGATGTAATTAATAAAAAAACGAATACTATCGTTTGTTAATAATAACGACATTTAAAATAGTGTTGACATAATATTGAGTTATTTTTATATGGAGAAACGTATTTTAACATTTTTTTTATTTAAACATATTCTCTTTATGTTTCTCATACTTTTCAATGTGTCAACAATAAACAGCGATATATGTTTATAAAATAAAAAAATGGAATATTTTTCTCGTTCGTTATATACATATGATATAAAGGTATAGAGTTTAACAATGTTTATACATACTTTCTAGTGAAATCTGTATAAATTTATCGGTAGAATATTATGGAATATATTTATTCGTCAATAAAGAAAGAAATCTCTAATAAAACGTAATGTACAATATTATTTTTGTCCAACATTTTTATTATTATTATTATTATATCGACAAAACGATAAATGCGCGATATATATGTATACACGAAAATAATTGTCTAATATTCCCAGTTTAAAATTTTCTGATACATCCACAACTAATCTATTTTTTAACAAAGATTCCATGAATATGTGATATAATGTATGATAGCGCATAGCATCCATTTGGATAGCAAGCCTGAGAAGATGCAAACAAACAATGGCCATATTAGAGAAATTATCGGCATATTCGACTACAAGTATTTTCTTGTCTTTATTCTGTACTGACAAAAGTCCGAGAGGAAAAAAATATCAATATGTAATCATTATTTACTTAAAATGTGACATAATTTTTTCTTTTTAATTTCATAGGTCTTGTTAGTAATTAGTACACGATATTCAGTATTACGTATTCTGTTAAATTTTAACAGTTGAAGTTTAACTGATTGTATTGTTTATGTTTGCACTATACTATGATAAGATAGATAACTTTATTTTAGTCACATTACTTTTTATGATTTATATAAGCGAATATCGATTTGAATTCAGACAAAAATCTTTTAAGATCAAATCTATATTTATAGTTTGCAAAATATTACGTTGTACCTGCCTGGTTTAAAGTGTTTCGATAAATTAAAGAAGAAAAAAGCTAAATATTTGCATTTTATATAATATCAAAAGATGTTTACAAATGTGAAATTCTCTCGTGCAAAATTATATATACATTGATTTACATTATATATACATATATATTTTACATATACACACGATAGCATATATAATAAAAAATAAATTGTATATTCCGAATCGTCATTATATCTATAAATCTACTACAGTACCATGTTAATCTTATATGGAATATAATCCAAGCCATGATTTGACCGCAATATAATACTAATCTCAATAATATTTATATAATGCACTTGTGCATGCATAACAATGTTAATCCAATTTTTTCTAAAATTTTCAGATATATTAGAATCCACTTGATATCATTTATGACAACTTAATATGATTCCTCTTCTTTTTGCTTTTTGAATTATGAATCTCAAAAATAAAAATTTTAGGGATCATTCATTATCATCGTCGTCACTACTAATCATCACTAACATCATCAGTAGTAGCATTGGTTTGTATTGTATTCTGAAATATTTCGACATGATCCAAATGATTATATGATAAAATTTTATTCATTTGTTATATGATTCGTTGATTCGGTTTTCATGCTTTCTATTTGTTCCGCGATAACAAGTTCAGATTGTTCCGTCTCCTTTTGCAATGTTATAATAATTTTCTGTTCAGTGGAAGATTGACTGTCAGAAGAACCTTCCTGTGTCGAAGTAGCAGCTTCCTAAAATTTAATATTTGTTATATTGTATTTGTTTGATGAAATATTATATATCTATAAAGCGCATATAATTTATACGAATTACTCACTGTGCTCCGTATCTTCGTGTGTGTTTTAATGTGTTTCGTTAGATGATCCGATCGCATAAATTTCTTAGTACATTCTGGACATTGAAAACGTTTTTCGCCAGTGTGAGTTCTACGATGCCTTTGAAGTTCGTCGGATCTGGTAAATTTTTACCGCAAAATATCCAACTACAAACGAATGGTCGTTCGCCGGTGTGCCAACGTAAGTGAGCACGCAAGTGACTCGTTTTACCGTATACTTTATTACAACCGGCAATGTGACATACATGTTGCCGCTTTCTGCTCATATCTCTATTTCTACAGAAAAATATGGATTAATTAAAATATTTTAGATATCGAGTTAGATATGAATACGAGAAATTGTGTATTAGTATAATATTATAAACGTTTGTAATATTCTATATACAAACAGACAGAGTTTTATATAACAAAAATTACCTGTCTCCGTCACCGCAATTAGGACATGTACACGCGACTCTCCTACGGTGCTGCTTGTTAGTATCGGTATCGGTATTGGAATTGACCGTATTGGATACCTGATGTTGGTGAGATATGGGAGTAGCAGATGTTGTCAAAGTTCCATTCGACTGAAGAGTTTGGAGAATCTGCCATTTGGTAGGATCACTCGAGTCGAGTTGTACGGTTGGCGCAGCTGCGACGATAGGTGCAGTCGCAGTAGCGGGTAACGTTTGAACCGTAGCGGTTGGTACGGGTTGCAACGCGCTCGCTGGTATTACTTGTACATTGCCTAAACCTGGGATATTTTGTACAGGTATTGATTGTAGAAAACCATTGGTTGTATTTATTCCAGCGGCTGGCTGAATTTGCATTATGTTTCCGTTGCTTACGCTCCTCATCATGTTACCTTGTTGCGCGGTTAAGTTTGCTAATGCAGATGCAGGAATAAGCGTTAATTGTTGTCCTTGCGTTCCTATACAAGTCAAGATCAATTTTATTATGAAATTATAAATTATATAGAACAGGATGTATAAAACAATTACAATATATTGGAAAATAAAAATAGAGTAGGTATAGTATCGAAGTTATGTCTTTCGAGAGTATTTATTAATTGTGCTAATAATTTACATGCGTGTATGCACTGATTTACTCACCTGTAATTGTAATAGGTTGCACTGTAGGTTGGGCTGACTGTGCAGCGGGGATATGTATTACTTGTCCACCAGCTAGATGACTAGCGTCGATATTAGTTACTTTAATATCACCTTCTACCGTTTCCGGAGGTCTTGTAAGAGTAGATAACGTTTGCACGTCGATTTTTTGACCATCTTTCGTGGTAATAACATTATTTCCCGTTATACTTCTTCCTAATGTACTTATGCCGAGTACCTATAAAAATTATGCATTACTAAAAGAAGAAAAAAGAATATGTAATTAAAATATAATTGTGTTGTGTATGCGTGTGCGTAACCCAATAGATGTATAGTACACGCACGCACGCACGCACGCACGCACACACACATATTTACACATCATTTAAAAATACATTACTTGAACGTTGCTAGGAGTGGCAACTGTTGTACTCCAAGTCGCTACTGTCGACGATGGAGCAGAAGATTGTTGCATCTGTTGCTGCTGCTGCGATTGTTGCTGTTGTTGCTGTTGCGGCGGTGGTGGTTGCTGTTGTATTACTTGCTGTACTACTTGTTGTACTTGCTGTTGTTGCACCTGTTGCTGTTGTACTTGAGCCTGAGCGACTTGTTGCTGTTGAACAGATTGCACTACCTGTTGTTGAGTTTGTTGTTGGACAACTTGCTGTTGCGCTTGTTGATGCGCAACTTGCTGCGCTACTTGTGTTACTTGTTGACTCTAAAAAGCACATTAAAAATTTGCATATTCATATATAACATTTAGTAAAATTATAGAGAAAATATCTCTTTATCGTTGAAGTCAATTTATACAACTTTATGTATGTTTACCTGAAGACTTTGTAACTGTGGCAAATTTGTAATTTGCACTTGTTGGATCTGACCACTTGGCGTAATTATCTGTGCTACTTGAGGTATTTGCTAAAATTAAACCAGAATATGTTTCGTTTTTATATAATTCATATTATAATTCACTCATAACATTTTAGCATTAAAATTGTAAACTAAACTTATGGAATAAATTATAATTGTTTTGCATCAACTCAGTTGATGTTATATCAGATGACTTACTTGCATAATTTGGGGTATCATTTGTGTCGCAGGCATATTTAAAACACTAGACAAAGCTTGAACAGGAAAGTGTACAGTTTGATAAACAGTTTGGCCATTGTTGGCAGTGACTGGTACTTGCACAGGGACTGTTTGTTGAACATGCTGCATTGGAAATTGAAGTGGCCTTACTTGTACATTTTGACCTGCAATATACGCGTTACTCGATTATTCTTCAGCATATGATCATAAATAAAACATTGTTAGAAAATTTGAATTTCGAAAATATGTATAAATAAAAGGTAGAAATATGAGATATATGTGCAAATAAAAGCAATTCTAACAATACTATGCATACCTGTAGGCAATTGTACCGTTTGTCCTGTGATATTTTGTATAATCGAAGTGGGAAAAACATTGGGTGCCCTTATGAGACTAACTGGTTGTGGCGTAATAATTGTCTGGCCATTCGCTAATTGCACCTGCTGACCCGCCAGTTGCATTTGTTGACCATTTGTAGCAAATTGCATTGCTGGCTGCGTTTGGTGATGCCCGCTTGCCGCGGACATTGCGGAGGATGGAATAAATAAAGCTTCCTGACCATCTATGTTGACGGTCTGCATTTGTGGAATTACACTATAACTGAGCTGTTGTTGCGGTTGCTGCTGTTGCTGTTGCTGTGATTGCTGCTGGTTCTGTTGCTGTTGCTGCTGTTGTTGTTGCTGAAGAGCCGTTTGTGTCTGAGCGCTAATAATTTGAGCACCCTGTGAAACATGATATGTTTATAAGTTGAAGCACAATAAAAGAAAGAGAAATTTGTATAATATGTATACAAACTATTTTGATAGAAAAAGAAATTATATTATTTCTCGCTTTACATACTTGCAAGAATTGATGAGGTAGCGATTGAACAGATATTGCTTGCGCTCTCTGTTGATCATGTTGTGGTTGTTGAGCTTGTACAGACATAAAGTTCTGCAGGGTAATAACTTGTGGTTGCTGCTGCTGCTGAGCTTGAACATCTGGCTGTTGTTGCAATTGCTGCAATACATTTGTATTTAAAAAACGGATTTGTGACTGGGCAGTTTGCTGCTGTTGCTGCTCTAATTGTTGCTGATCCGCTTCGTCTTGTTGCTGCGATTGTGTTTGCAAAGAATCATGCTCTTCAATTTCTTCCTATACATAAATTATTAAATTCCTTTTTATAAATATATTTGTACAAAACAATAAAGATTATCCATATAAATCATTCTATAATTGTTATAAATATACATATGGTATGTAGAATATAGTATCTCACTTGTGAAATGTTTCTTCCATCTATACTTCGCTTCATGATGAACAATTGCGTTTTGTGCTATACAAAATCTATAAAAACAGTCTAGATGCCACTTCATCGAGTCGTGCTAGGAATCCATAATGCACTAAATACACAACTATGCGTATATTGCCAATTTTTTTGTAGCCACAAAGAGAATCGTTCCTATTAAAAACAGATACAGTTTTTAGAAAATTATATCCATAAAGATACACAGCTAATTAATTATAGTGTATAAGATAACTAATAAATAATGTAACAACTATACAAACAATATATAGTGCATAAACTATAACCAATTACTTTATATAAGTTTTTCTTCCAAAAATTGTGGCAAAAAAAGATGTCTTTTAAATAACGGGCGAGGGAGAAAAAGATAGAAAAGAAAGGGGTGCAGAGTTTCTATTTAGCGTTAAAAATATTATAGTTTTTCATCATTTAAACTTAATTAATCTATGATCAAAATTAATCGCATTCACGCGCATAAATTACAAATATCTTGATTAACGAGAAAATGTTAAAATTTAAATCAATTTAATTGGAATTAGAATATTTATAGTTATTTCAAAAATCAAAAAATTGTTTTTCTTGAAAATGCGTTACGCGAATTATCGTTCTCTTGAATCGTCGTGATAGTAAAAAAAAAGTATAGTGATCGAAATACACGCGGGGTTAAAAACAAATCGCACTTTGCCGCTATTTAACAGAGAACAAAGACTGTCACGAAGCGCTCAAGTCCTAACCGAGGCGAGAATCTGCTCGAGGACCGCCTCCTTACGCCCCTGTTTCAACCGCTCCACCCGTATTCGTATCGAAGCACGCGCACGAGTTTCAACACAATGGCAAAGTGGTATATGTGTCGTCATACCGCCCACTCGGCTGTTCGCTGCTCGTTTGCGCTCTTACGCGATATCCGTGATAACGGGGAAGGACTGACTCGCGATGCAGCCTCCACCCACTTTGAACCCGAAACTCCACCTAACTTGAAAATTAGCACGTGTTTCCTCGCGCGAGATATACATACTCACGTTGTTAACGTTGCTCCAATGCCGCGTAGTCGCTATTACGGCGATCTGTACCCGTTATATGTAGTTACGCGATTAATGTTACGCGAAAACATGCGTCGTTTTTTTTCCAGCACGAAAGCACGCCGATCACAAAGGAACGGACTCGACACGAGTCGATAAAAACGGAGCCGTGCTCGTACGTTTCGCGTGCGTTTGCATGCATGCAAGCGAGTAGCGAGGCATTATTTGTAAGAGTTTTAGCTCGTTCGATGCGTTAACTCCCGTACGTATCGCGCACAAAGTCACATATATATCAAAAAAATCATACACACACACGCGCGCACGTGCCACGCACGCGACGCGCGTCACTGTAACCGTGGATGGTATCGCTGCGCGCCCGCGCACTGTGCTACAACTACACGACTATCGCGGTAGCGACTGCATTATTTTGCGTTGATCGATACGCGATGGATCGAGCGGAGCCGTGCGTCTATCGAGTAAATTAGTCGCTCCAAGTTTCCGCGAAAATCACAGCCGAGAGCTCACGCTCAGCGAACACCCGCTGTACGTAAAAATTGCACGACGCGCACAAAGTGTGCTGGTCGACAGGAGTAGTCGACCAAGTCGAATAGTAGCGATGCGGCTCGTCCGACTATCGTGCGATTTACCAACACCGACACGCGCATCGCGTACCTTACGTACACAAACCTCGCACTCTCCGTTCAGTCATTTATTCGCGTTTGCGGAAACGTTACGACGAATACTAACAAATGCCGCGATAATGGGACTAGCTCGACTACGACGACGCACGTATGTACATACTCATAGGGCCAATGGGCGGTGATGACGCGAGATGGCAACGCCGTATGTTCGTCGCGATGCCACGGACTCGCCCATTGGTGGGTTGTTCGCGATTCGTGCGGCTGTTCGCCAACCGACCTGGCTAGAGTTTGTTGCAGCTGGCTGGGGCGTCATTCGACAGGGGCGTACGCGGCTACACCTTGGACTCCACTCTTGGACGCCCACCCCGTTTACGAAGGGCTAAACCACGCGCACCTCCCCCTACTTTCTTTAGTCTTTCGCTTCCTCCCCACCTTTTTGCATTCGACGCGACGTGACGCGTCGTCGTTTATCATACGTCGGCGTGCTCTCGAGTCGAATTCGAGAGAAGCACCTTTTTTTTTTTGCTAATTTATGTTTATCCGCAAACACATCGGTTTCGTATTATTTCAGTTTTTTAATATCGTTTTAATATCATGGAATATGTTTGTCCTTTTAAATATATATATATATATATGCGTAACAAAAATAAAATTGTTTCAAATTTCTCTCCCTTCTGAAAAATTTATATTCTCTAGATACTTCATTTCACAATTCTAACTGCGATTAAAAGTGTGCAATATGCTTAAAAGTGGGAAAGAAACTTGATGTTACAAATTGTTCTACATGTGTAAACGGTATAAAGTATAAACTGCTTATAAGATATAAAATATTGGTAGCATATTACTATTTATATTTTCAAACATGATGATAAGATCAAGTATTCCAAGTCCTTCATTTGCCATCTACTTTATTGATGCGATGATTATGAAACAATTTATGACAAGATAATACGCTTGTCAATTGCATCATTACGTGATGGTAATAAATTAAGTACTTTTTTGCAGTATATATTCATAATTTGTACAATTTTAATGTAACATGTAAATGATGAAATAAATAGATATACAATAAATAACAGTTTGCACTATTATATAAGTTTAGTTTCAAGAAATTGAATATACTAAGAAATACTTTTTACAATGCGTTATATTCACAACTCTCAAATCAGAATTTTATATATCGGTGAACAAGAGAGCAATTATTCTGAATTAAATATATGCACGGTGCAATTGTAAACACTAAATATTATAAATACCGTATTGACAATTTAGCAAGATAGAGTTGGTATGTTAGAAATAGAGTACTCTTGTTACAAGAATAGAACGCAATATGCATAAGTACTTGCTATAATATGTCAGTTATATAAATTATACAAATAGAATGCGAATATTCTGCAACTTGTACACAATCCACTTGTATACAAGTAATACACACACGCGATTGTAGAATTGCAGGAAACTTGTAACAATTTTAAAACTTTTTCCCCTTGTGTACATACACATGCATAATTTTAATTATTAATGTGTGTATATATACTTACAATATTATTTTAATTTTACTTATTCATAAAAATTGACTTGCGATGGATACGCATATAAAGAAGTTAATTTGAGTGTCAAATTATTTAATATGAAACTGTATAGTTTAAAATATTTAATTGTTTTAAATACTCTCTCTATTCATGATAATTTTATTTTGCAAGATATTTGATTTAGTTGATTTCGACAGTATATATATATGTGTGCTTGATTGAATGTACTGATATTCTGTAATAAATACACAATGATGAAACACATCAAATCAAAACAAAGATATAATAGATTAAAATATTTAAAAACTTTACAGCGTAAGGGAAAGAATTTCTCTTCACAGTCCTCCACCTGATCTCTCGACGCTTATTTGTTTCTTGAGCATTTCCTTTTCGTGCTGCGCTTCCTCCATTTCAGCCATCCGTGCGAAACGTGAGTATGCCACATGACCAGACTTTATAGCTGACATCATCTACATGTAAAAATAATATATATATATATATACACACATATAAACAATGTACGGTTTATACAAACAGATATTAAAATAATTTTCAAAAATATATAATTTCTAATAACTGTACTTATTATAATAGTGACATGCGCCACAAAAATGCGATAAGTAGAAAAGAACATGAAAGAACGAGGGGAGAATAATAATCAATTGCTAATTTCTCTATTGAAAGATTGTTATCGGTTTAGTATTCGTCAATCATGCGAAAGAGGAAACAAAACTATCGCTTTGAGCAAAAAATGTGAGCAATGTGTAAAGCAAAAGTAATACAACAAGAAATCTGACTGTGACTGTGTGCACAATGCGCAATGTCACAGACCTGAAGATATTCATCCAATTCAACTTGACCATTCATATTGGTGTCGATTTCGCGTAGAATTTCATGAAGTTCATCACCCGGTACTTCCTTATCTCCAAAGAGCTGCGAAGAGCAAAAAAGAATATATGTTATTTATATGCTTGATGATTTACCTGCAAGTAATCTTGTAATTCCATTTGACCATTGTAAGTAAGATCAATTTCATTCAATAAGCAATGCATCTCGTCCTGGTTCATTCTTATACCTAATACCTGCACATTGGCGATTAATGGATATCGATAACAATTATAGAAGAGAATAGAAAGTGATATAGAAAGTGTCATGGAACATTGAAATTCTGTGAATACAAACCTTCAATCCTCGTCTAATATCATTAACAGACACGTATCCCTTTTTGTCCTTGTCTATAATTCCAAAGCGTTTAATATAGAGCTGGATCTCATCTTTGGTGAGATTGATTGGAATCTTGTCGCGAGAAGCACGATTCACCATTTGACCCATTTCTTGCGCGAGAAAATCGCTGGCCTCACGATGTTGCTTCTTCTTTTCCTCTGCCGACCAATGCAACTCCTCGGCCATGATATCTATAATAACTGGCAATGCTTCTTGAGCCGCTTGCACATTGAGAAAGGCGAGTCTTAATCGACGTGCGATCATATCGATTGCGGTTCTAGCGTATTCTCGTACACCGTAACGTATCTGAAATGTATACAGGTATATGACAAGAATGTATGACATGTCGGTGTGTGTGTGTGTGTGTGTGTGTGCATGTGTGTTTGTGTTCGAATTGGTTTACTTGTCAGTTGAACTTTAAACGCGCAAGTTTACTTACTTCAGCATCGATATACGGGAATTCTGGATGAATCTTTTTTCCAATAATCGGCCATCGTTTTCCTGTCAGAGAAGCCATTTTAGCTACGGCAAACGCACGATCTCCGTAACTCTTGGACAAATGTTGCGCGACTTCGCATTCTAAACCAAAATCCTGCACCAATCTAATATACATTGTAGGACTCCAACCCTGTGCACCTTCCAGAAGGAAACCATCAGTCTGGCAAGATCTTTCTGGTTCTAGGTCGCAAGCTTTAAACAAGTATCAATGAGTGAGTATCTTTAAAAATAAAACAGACTTTTGTCTGTGAAAGACAAAACTTTGTGCTACCTTTAATTGATTCTCTCTCTAATATACCTTTTATGGCCGCGTCAATGGTTTCTTCAGCCATCGCTCGATAAGTTGTCCATTTTCCGCCTGCTATCGTGATGAGATTCGTAGGACTAACGTGCACGATATGATTCCTAGCGAGTGATTGTGTATTTGGTTTGTTCGGATCGGAAACGAGCGGTCTGATACCGCTCCAAGCGGAGAGAACGTCTCCGCGGCGTACTTCGACATCCGGATTTAAGTAGTTTTTTACTTCCTGTAGAATGAACATGATTTCGTCTTCTGTGGGCCGAGGATTATGCGTTACCTCGCATGGTAGATCGGTCGTTCCCGCGATAGTTTGCTTTTGCCACGGTAAAAAGAAGATTACACGGCCATCGCTCGTCGCTGGATCGAGTAGACCCATCTGATCAGGACTAGAATAATAATATATATATATATATATATATATATATATATATATATATATATAAACCATTTACATCAAAAGATAAATTGCATTGAATTGAGTCAGTTAATGTATCGAGTATATGCATATTAATACATTAGCTTTCTTGTTACCTGTAATATCCCGGCAGAACTATGTGAACTCCAGAAGATGGAGAGCAGATAGTCTGAACGTTCTGATCGTCCATCTTTCTAATATAATCAGTAAAAGGACCGGTTGCGTTGATTATCGCCTTAGCTTTTACATCCCACTCCTCTCCCGTAAGGTCGTCTTTAGGTGAGCACCCACGAGGACACGTTTGCCATCCTTTTTTTCGAATAAAAATACTTTTTTAAAAATATCTTCATTTTATAATTGTACTATTAATACATACTTTGTCGAGACCTTTCAGTAGGTTGACCACTTTAACGTGATTTACGACTGTCGCCCCGTGTCTCGAAGCTGTCAGAGCGACTGCCAAATTCATCCTAGCATCGTCTTGCTGACCTGCATTACATATCGAATGATACATTTAAAAAAGTAGAAGAGATGTACGTTGTATAAAAATTGTAAAAGGAGATTGCGTCCAAGGACGAATACCATCGTAGTAGACGATCGCTCCCGTCAATTTGTCACCTTTCAACATTGGAAAAAGTTCTAACGCATTCGATTTACTTAAATAGTACGACGATTTCACCGTTTTGCTACCCGCTACCAGATCGTACATCTTAATGCCAAACCAGTAATAAGGAATCTGCCACCATCTGATGGAAAAGAAAATAGATACATGAGCGGGAAAAATCAAGCAACATTAAAAAATTATGCTTGTAGAAGTGCATATAAACATACGTATAAACTGGTAACATAATGGGTAATGGATGCGCCAGATGCGGTGCGCTCTGCAGCATTGACGCACGTTCGTGAAGTGCTTCTTTGACCATTCTATATTGCTCAATGTCCACTTGCATGATTGCTTTTTGTAAATATCGTACACCACCGTGAATCAACTTTGTGCTTCGAGAAGAGGTCCCAGATGCAAAGTCATCGGCTTCGACCAATGCGGTTTTTAAACCTTTAAGAGAGTATAGCAATGTTGTATGGTTTATTTTTTTCCTCATACAAACGAAAAACAAGGCATAGCTTTACCTCGTGTGCAAGCATCCAGAGCACATCCTGCTCCTGTGGCACCACCTCCAATTATAAGTACATCGTACTCTTGCGATTTTAAAGCCTTTACTTGATCCTCTCGTATTGGTAAAGTTCTTCGAGGCGGTCTTGGTTTTCCTTTGTCTGCATGTACCTATAATTGTCATTGCCTTGAGGAATAAGTATGTATGTGATTAGTGGCATCTAGGTGCGATTCAAATATGAGGCATCGCATTATATGTGTAATATATAATAATATAAGATATATGAGCGTATTTTTGATGTTTTTAGAGTAATTTTTGATCGCATTATGATTATTACACAGTATTTATATGAATATGTACCTACCGTAGTATCCGACAGAAGAAAGTGTGAGGTAAGAGTACCAGCACCTACAGCACTTGCTCCTGCTACAAACCATCTAAGTGATGCCATCGTCCGTCACGTACCTCTTACGATTATGGCGAGACAAACTGAAATAAAAAAACATGATATATGCATATACATATTTTCAGATTACACGTAATACAAAATCTACATTATACCTACATGTAGGTTTTTACATATAGTTAAGAGATTATATTTGTTACAATATGCAAGAATTAATATTACAAAAAAAAAAGAAAATAAATACTAGTTTGGTCAGATTAAAAAATTTGAATAAGTGCAATTTAGTAGACAAATATGATTTTTATAGAAATAAATATTTTCAGATATCAGTATATACAAGAAATAGAAAAATATCCTACAAATATTTTCTTTCTTTGAATATTAATAATATATATATTATGTATGTATAATGTACATAATACACAATGTATATAAAATACAATATAAATGTATCATTTAGCTTTAAAACTAAAGACACATATATGAATATGTGTGTGTATATATAGCAAATTGTTTTTAATATTTATTTAATATAATAATATTTTTAAAAAAGGCAACAAAACTCAAGGCAAGAAAAGGTACATCTCTCATGTGTACCTTATATACATGTACTATAAATAATTTAAAGATTGTTCAACGTATCGTAAAATTATCGCATCACGGTGTATTATACAAATGTTTCACACACAACACACACATGTACATAATATACAGCAAACACTGCGGCCAACACTTTCATCCGACAATAACCTTGATAAGAGCTTGAAACACGCGTAATTATGTAAGTGACATTCGTCGAGTGTCACACCCACGCGGATACAATCACGATTCACGATCATGTAATCGATTCTTGCAACGAAATCCATTGTAGAGATCGATAGTACTGTTTGACGATATATATTATTAAAAATGCACCTACTTGAAAGACATGATTTATATTAAATAAGGATATTAAAAGGTTATTGTAGCATTTCTCGTCAATTTTTATACACAAGTTCTTGGGCAAAAAATGCATAAAAATTACCAGTATAACACTGGCGCGTTACCGACCGATTTGAGCCAAAGTTAATTAATGGAAAAATTTGATAAATCTCAAGTATAATTTTGAAATCATGAGAACATAATACCGGACTCGGTGTCGCAAGGTTGCAGTTAAAATTGCGCTATAAATAGCACGTATAGCCGTGCCAAATACTTTGAAATGTTATTCAGCACAATAGCACATACGTATACAATAGAGTCCATATTAATTATTACGTGTTATTTAATCTTTGTCGTTTTGACTTACTCGATACATCGAATCTACTCTATTCAACATTATTTATCATTAACATGCAAATATATCTTTAATTATGCGTTTGTGTTTAATTGCATCATTTAATGCATTCTATTCGATTTATTTTCGGTTATCTTTCAGTCTTTAGTCAATTGAGCCAAGCCAATTTTTCAAACTCGAGAATCGAGATACAATTAATGACACAATTAGTAATATCATCACAGACAGCAAAACAGTTGAGGACATGCATTTTTGGAGCCGGTTCTTTGGATGAGCGATATATATTAAACATACATATCCACATACTCACAGCGAGATGAGGAAAGACGAGTTTCTTGTCACAGAGAACGTTGGGACGCTAAAATGTCATGAAGCACATATCTTTCAATATCTATCTTCTGGTAACGGAGTAATCGCGATATCGCCACCGGTATAAACTACTTTGGACCGATGGCGACTAATTGACTAAAGCTTGAATTTCGGCTTTCGGCCGCCGAAAACATAGAGACTAGAAATAGGAAACTCGACTTGCGTGGAAGGGGTAGGTAGGCAAAAAAAAACCATCGCTACTATAGCTGACACAATTAGGACGCTTGCACATAGAACGTTAAAGAGTGTCTTAGAACGCGACAAGCTCTGTAAATCGATTGGCTATCGCATCTTTGCGTACGTAACGCGTTGACCAATGGTATGATGCTCTGACGTTTTTCTGTTCAAGAAATTAATATCCCTTATGAGAGTCGAGTCTTTCTTATTTCTAGTCTTCATAGCCGAAAGCAAAATGAAGAAAAACCTGAGAAACTGCGACTATGCATTATATCAAAAACTAATAAAAACGATAGAGCAATAGCAGATTCCTTATTAGGCGATAAACTGTCGCGTTTCGAGTACATTTAGATTAATACTACGAGTAATATCCTCATTGAGAATAAAAATTAAATTGGCGCAATAATATACATAAATCACGCATCGAAACAAAATAATACTCTTTGTTATTTAACAGCAAATATCTGTACAAGTTAGGCACTCTCGCGCACGTCATGAAACAGTATTCGTACAAAGGTTCATATACATCTCGTATGCTATATCATATGGAGCAAAAACTTATTCTAGAGACATTATATCGTGTATGGCAACACCTTTAAAATATATATATATATATATATATATAATAGTAAAATATGTAAACATAACAAATGCAAAGAATGTACGATGAATGTAGATGTACAATAAATAGCAAAGATTGTTGCAGAGAGTCAAGACACACGGTATTGCTAAAACCTACTATTTACACAAGTTGTTATATCAAAATATACGACCATTCTTATAGGATATTAGTGATTCTAGTGAAAAATACATATTTTTTCACATTAAAGAATGCAACATCACACCGAAATCTTGTTGAAAACAAAATTTGGAAATCTTTACACTTCGTCAGAAGCGAGCGTTTCTTTGCCACCCGGAGAAGCCGACTTTTCTTTTCTTTCTTCCTCTTTCATTTGAAGAGCAACCGCCGATTCCAGCACTCGTATTCTTCCTTCATGCTTCACAATTACGGCTTTAATTTTCTTATTTCTTCCCTGCATTCTCTCAATAAATCTTCCTACGATTATATAACAAATAATTATCAAGTTATTTGATCAAGTTACTCAGTTGAGAAAAAATAAGAGGAAAAAAATTTTAGATATACATACACAAGCGTCTGACGAAACTTGCGCAGTATTTTGCCCGACATTGGACGCAACCTTGGCTCCTTTACTCAATATATTAGATTTCTTTTGTACTTTAAGTTCGTTCTTGGAAGCGGACGGCTGATAACCGTCTCTGAGGGATATCAATACAGGCTCTCCATCGGTGCCAGATACCCATTCTTCTGCTGAGATAGCAGCAGTGTCACCAGGAGTATCAGGATACAAGTCTTCTTGAAAAAGCTCAGACTGGAAAAAAATTATATATAGAAAACAAGCGTTAAAAAGGGATTTTGGTATTTTTCATTTTTTTCTTTAATATTATATACACTCTCTTTCTTACCTTTCTCGGCACGGTCATAGATATCACTTGGCAAAAGCCCGAATTATTTAATCGATAGAATCTGGTTATTTCACAGCTATTAACGTCACAGCCCCGTTTTGGCATCATTCCTATACCTCGTTGAGGATCAGGAGTTTGAAAAGTATTGATATAGTGAACAAAGGGCGGTTCGGGTGTAATTTCAAAATATCGGATCACAGAATCACCCTTGCCACATAAATATACTAAATTTGTATCAGGGTCATACAGAGGGAACATAACTCCATTGCTTGTATCTAATTCTACCATAACTATCGGCTCGCCCAACATGTCGGGAGCTCGCAAAGAATATTGTCTTTCCGACATTTTACTAAAACCTGTCGTGAAGATCAAGCCACCCCTGAAAATATAATGCAAATAACTTAATCAAAATGCACGGATATTTTTCATTCAACACTATCTAAAACGCGGTGGCTTTTTGTTACTTGACATGTTAATCTCTTGGCGTGTATATTGCAATAAAAATGATTTTGTATATTCACTTTGCACGTGTATATTATATATACGTATGTAATTTGTGTATTACTTTGACTAATATCTTATTATCACATTCTCTTACATAGAGATTAATCATCAAAATTTTACTACATCCACCTTATTACCACATGTAAAGAAAACATCTTCCAATAGGTATCTTGCAATATATACATACATACAGATATACATAAGAAATATATAATTACAATGCAAATAATTACATGCAGTGCTATTGCTTAAATTTGCACTTACATATATTTTCTATCTTTCACAGATGTAAATGTGATAATTATGATATTATTTTATAAAGATATGTTTATCAAAATTAATATTTCTCAATCTAATTTACATATGCATTCTAACATTTACAAGTTGCAATTTGAATTAACAAATTGATGTACAATACTTACTGTAATACTTATGGAGAATTACAGAGCGCACATCTTGACACTCGTATTTATTAAGTTGGCATCTTCGTCATGTCGAAAATTCAGTCTGGCAGTTTTCCATTAAAAATTACAGAATCTCGCACTACACAAACCGGAAATACAAGATGATAAAAAAACAAATATATCTTTTACGCGTCTTTGTCTAATTGTAAATATATTCCTCTTATATAAAATACTTACGGAAAAAAATTCGAAAAATAAATATATCATGTATATGTCGCGCGTAAATACGATAATTAAGTCATTAAACGAAAATAATATATATAAGTATATCACTAAAAGAAAAGAAAGAAAAAAAGACGAGATATAAAATTTAATGTGGAAAAGAATAAGTTGAAATATTTTTCGGTTGTATTAAAAAAAAATCTCTAAACAATTTCTGCAGTGATATAATTTGATGTGATGTAAGTGCATTTTTTGCAGTGATATAATTTGTTTACATTGTATCACTACTAATGTACTGTGTAAAAAGGTGGATGTATACCATTTGATGATTGTTTTATAAATATTTTTTTATAGTTGTCTTATGAATAATTTACATATACTACCATAATAAAAGTAAAGAAGTTGTGCAACGCAATATTATTTACATTTATTTGTTCGGTGTTTGTGTATTTTCTACATCCACACTCATGCAAAATTCACTCATTAATGTAATGCCTTTCTTTTACGTGTTATTTAAAAATACGCGATGCGGCAATGTGAATTACATCATGTAAGTATATTAATGTGAATATAAAAAAAAATTTTGTCTTCTGTGTGTGTTAATTATGCATTTATACAAATAAAGCATTTCTCTCTTGATAAAATATAGACTATTAAGTATTTAATATTTAAATTTTTATATAAAAATGGAGTAACAATATTTATAATTGTGAACAATATATTTTATTCGTAAAATAAGAATGACGTCTATACACAACTTGTATATCGATCTGTGAAATTAAGTAATTAAAAGAAATTAAAATTGAGTACTAATATTTTGTTAAAAAAAAAAAAGTCCATTTTCTCCACAAATGATGATTCTATTTTTGGCAAAGTAGTGTTTGAGATTTGAACCAAATGTATACTTTTCAAAATATGTTAATTTGCTGCCATTTACATTGCACTGCTTTCTTTTTTTTTTTAATTTTAGTCGCATCAATCTTATTATATAATATACATATAAATAGTACAAATAATATATTTAAAAAAGAAAACAAAACAAAAAACAGATGAATAAAGTGCAGTGCTAAAGAATATATGTAGCACATACCTGAGAAAGATGGCACGAGTCGCTTTACTTCCTTCGTGCGCTATGGCTTCTTCTAATATTTCACCCGATCTTGGGTCCAAGATTCTAATTTTTTTATCCTTACATGTAGTAACTAATCGAGATCCATCCCAATTCCAACATGCGGAATAAACTACATCTGGATGAGAGTCGATGCGTAGTAAGGCTTCTCCTGTACCAACATTCCAGATAATAACAAGATTGTCCGAACCAGCTGTCAGCAGCACATTTAACGCAGATGGATGCCATAGCACTAAACCGACTCTGCGTTGATGTAATTGCAAATCTACTATCGAGTCGGTCAATGTCCTAGAAATACCTCCATCAGGTATTTGCCATACTTTGACAACACAATCTTCGGAACCAGAAGCTATGACATTATCGTTATGAGGACACCATGCGATATCTAACACAGGTCCTTTGTGTCCACCTACTAAAGGATAGTCCGCTGGTATTCTTCCTACCTATAAATGTTGAATGTACAATGATATATTATAAATTATAAATTGTTATTTCGTAAAGGTATAGTATATACCTTTGCATGTTATACTACGTAAAAGATTCCTTTATTGATCGGATGAGAAACAAGACAAGTATTGACAAAAGTATATATTCTTTCCAATGCACAGTAACGTACGCAAAACATTGGTCAACTAAATTTAATCGATCAAAGGAATTGAAACATAGGAAGTAAAAAAAAGCGTACCTTATTGTGCGGTAAAACGATAAAGGCACCGCCACCCGCAGATTCTACGATAATGGCAAGAAATTTGGGATTCACGGCACAAAATGTCGAATCCCACGATGATTTCGATACTCTAATGTTGTCGTAACATTGCTCACGTTTTAGTGAAGTTCCATACACGTGGCGGAACTTGCTGGTACGCACCACGCGGAAAGACATGTCTGCACACCTATTTTCATTACAAAATTGATATTTTCCGAGAAAAAGAGAGAGAGAGAGAGAGAAAGAGAGCCAGAGATGGAAGAGAATTTAAATATAACCTCGATATGCAAAAAGTAAAGAAGTACACGATATCTTGGGATGTCGCGCGCGCACGTTCAATAAGAATATTTTAATAAATTAGTGTCGTATGTCCGTTATGGGGCTGCGGGCGTTGTTGCGACATGAAACACATATCTCTATTTTATAAATAGATTCCCCACTCTTTGTCTCTTCGTCATCAAACGGATATAACTGATATGCAAGAAACGTGTGTATTCGGTCACTTTTCGATCACTATATTTACAAATGATGTGTATTTGTATATGGGGTAACACACACACGCACACAGTCACCGACATTGACACGTTTTACCGATTATCGCGAAACGGGAGACAACTTAACCAAGAGACTGTTCCCTGCGCTCCTTACATGGTGCATCGAAAAATGATTTCGATTCATCCGAAATAGACGGATCGCGCTCGCGCGGCCGCGCCCGACTCGTGCCAGAACCGCCAAATCGTCATTCAAAATGATTCGAAATCATATAACGATATATCCGCATCCACTTGACGATATATATACACACACATAATATATATATATATATATATATATATATATATATATATATATTGCGCGTCGTGAAATTATTCGAGTTTCATTTGATACATACTCGTAATTTGAAAATGAAAAAGATCTGTCAAATATGCAAACCGGCAGTTTACCGATAAGAACAATCGCGGTTAGATTAAACCAATCGTTTGTTATCGTGGTTGCGTTTATCTTACATTTTAACGAGTCATTAGTCAATCGTTGACAATAGTTCATAAAACGATGTAAAGCTCGACAAAAATTGACCAGCAAAACTGAATTCGTATTCCCGCCATCGTCCGTTACATCGTAGATAGAATGTAACTCGATAGACGACCACGTAGCAGCGCCAGAAACATGAAGGCTCGCTCTTCAAAGAATACCTTATTTGGAAATGTGCACCCTGCTAATTCAAATAGCCTCCTCTCGATCATCCTCTTATTCTTACTCAGTTATTTTTCTCTTTTTTTTTTTTTTTTTTTTGGAAATTCGCACTTTATCGTCTCTTCGCGAATTCATTTTGCTTCATGCACCGTCAACATTTTCTTATCGATCGTATCGGTTTGTCACGAAATAAATATAAGGATCGACAGCGTTATCGGATATATATATCTTATATAAACACGTTGCATACCGTATTCTCCTACGAGTTATATGCTTATTAAGACGCAACTTACGGAGCAATGTTTCTCGTTGTGACAAAAGATAGACGGTTTTGGAAAAGGAGTCTTCTCCCCGCCACTCACCGCCACTAACCTCCTTCGACGTTGACAACGACGGGCACGGGCGTGCACACTGTGCACGTCGCTGACGTCGCACGTCTCACGTCACTATGAGCGCCTTTCCATTTACAATTTTATTAAGGCCTATTATTATGTACAAAGTATATGTACAGTACCCTCCATAAGTTTAGAAACACCTTATATTTTAGGGCCGTTCTACAATAGGTTGCAAATATCCTCGTTGATAGTTGCGGATTAACCAATCAGCTGACAAGTTGCTTTTCTCTGCTCTTGGTCAATCGGCAATTGTCAACTAGCAACGAGGATTTCGCAACCTATTGTAGAATAGCTCTTACAGTTAAAGAATTGCATGACAGCGATCTATTATAAATAAAAATATTATTTAAAATATTTTACGTTTTATTTATGCAAAAAAATCTGCACAGATCTGTCAAGAGAAGATCATCTTAATTGAAGAGAAAATTCTCTAAAGAAAAATTCTTTAATTAGATATTCGTACATGCAAGAATATGAACTTAATGAAATGTTTTTTATCAGTATATTATTTGAAAAATTATTAATCGTGATAACAAAAAACATAATGGAAATTTGTTATTTATTGCATATAGTAGTACTCTTCACAAATTTAGGAACACTTTACATTTTATTGTTAAACAATCGCATGGTAACGATCTGTCATAAATAAAAATAGCATTCAAATATTTTACGATTTATTGATACAAAAAATCCTACACAGATCGTTGCCATATGATTGTTTAACTGTAAAATGTAAGGTGTTTCCAAACTTATGGAGAATACTGTATGTACATATGTTTAGAGAAATCAATTAATCACGCACCTAATATAAACACTTTTTTATTATTAACCACACAATTGGTCCATCTCTCTATATACACGTACATTGTCATGTGGATAGGCCTTATGGACGATTCGTATTTACAGAGTTGCGAATGTCAAATGGCGAAAAGCGATATAATGCGCGTTTTTAATGTATCTTTGTACTCTTCACTTTTATGATTATTAAATATTAATTATATCGTACGAAATCAATTTACTGATATTTGAGTTTTTATCGCACACACACATTTCTTAAAAAGTAACACATCTTGATGTACCTAAAAGTTACGTGCGCAGAATACGTTTCCAAATAAATCTATTCGTAAATATTTATGTTGCATATCTTTATGCGATATGTGCTTATTTTTGGAGTCAAAGTGTTGTAAATAATGGGGGTACACGGTCTATGGAAATTGCTCGAAGCATCCGGAAAACCGGTGCCTTTAGAAAGTCTCGAGGGTAAAGTCTTGGCAATTTGGTAAGCATTGATATTTACAATTCATTTTATCATAACAGTTTGTGTATACATAGAAAATATCATTTTTTATGTAACATCTATTGTAAATGTCAAACTTCTGTGATATAATTGAAATTTTTATAGTTCAATGAATATAACAAAAGTTTCTATAGATTTCGTGTAAAATGTGTAGATGATCTACATGATATCTATATAATAAATATCTATATAAATTTTCAGATATATCAATATGGATGTATCAGATATTGCAAGGATATCAAGATCGTCATAGTATTCCTAAACCTAATGTTCATTTGCTTCGATTATTCACTAGAATATGTAAACTCCTATATTATAAGATCAAGCCTGTTTTTGTCTTTGATGGAGGTGTACCTATGCTTAAAAAAAATACAATTGTAAGTACAATGAATTATATTTTTGCAATTTACAAATCTTTTTTTCTTAACTTTGTGCATTTCATACAAAAAAAATGTTATATTATAAATTTTAAACCCACTATATATTTATGCACAAACAAAACTTTTTATCTTCATTATAATATGATTTGTATGCAATTAGAATCAGGTAGCATAAGAATCAGGTATAAGAAAAGACCTTTCTCATTCTTTTGTTTGTAGGCCTTGCGCAGGAAGCAGAAATTTATTGCCACAAGTAAGGCACAGAAGATGAAGACAGATTGATAAACAACTTGATAAAGCATAGCGTTGTGAAAACGTTTCTTAACAAAGATTCCAAGGTGGATCAAGCTAATGGAACAATGCAAAAAATTATAAATATGCAAACTAACTATTCCAAGGAAGATATGTTTACTTTACCTGATATGCCTAGCACTAGCAATGCACAGACTTATATCAGTGATAATGAATATGATTCCGACACCTCTGTTGAGTTAAGTCCATCGAAACAATCCAAATGGATGGGAAACATACATAGTGTTGATGTAAGCAGCAGTGAATTTAAGATATTACCTGCAGATGTTCGTTATGATATACTCACTGATCTTAAGGAAACAAGGAAACAACTCCTGGGGTCGTTGCATGAAATACCCCAAGTATGTAATACAAATGTTAAAAAATTATCTTTATACATATATATAATTTTTATATCCAGACATATATATTATATGTGTATATGCGTGTGTGTGAACAAACTAAATTATAAATTGTTCTACAAAATTGTATCTAATTATAGGAATCACAAGAATTTTCTGGCTATCAGTTGGAACGTTTACTTAAACGTAGATGTGTACAAGAATTGTTGGAATCTGCTGAGAAGGAAATGGGTGGAAAACGCTAACATTGGAAGAATTAGATAAATTATTGGACTGAACAAGGGGTTGATACAAGAGCAAAGATGTAGCTTTCCGCGTATAGCTGCAGATAGTACAACAAGATTGATATACATCAGTGGTATGTGTGCTAATTGTCAAATTAGTAATTTTTATAACACATGTAATAATTATACACTATATTATTTTGCAGACAAGAACACATTAGCAAAAAACTTTGTCAATAATGAATCAGAAGTGGATAAAGATGATAAATCACAAAACATGAGTGAGAAAGTTGAATCTATCGCTGGCCCAAGTAATCATACAGCAATTGTAGAAGATATGAACGAATATGAGTTAAATGATTCTGATGATGACATTGATATACCGATTCACGATGATTTTCGATTTATCACGAGAAATGTAAATGAAAATGCACTTGACAGTGATTGGGAATCTGAAATTGATATAAGCGAATCATTAACGCCAGATAAAAAATATTTAAACAAAAATACAGCGAATCCCGCATTGGTATATCTATTAGAGTATAGTGGTTTAACTCAAAATCAGATTACGAATCTTATCAAGTATAATAAAAAACAAAATCATAAAAAAATAAAAATTACAAACGAAGATGTAAAAGTACATGAGAAAAATATTTATTCAGAATTAATTGAAGACAAAAATTCAACAATTGCTAAGTCGGTATTAGAACTTCCTGAAAATTCTGTGAAAGTTTTGAAATCTGTAGAGTCGCAAAATATGCAAAACGCATGCACGACTAACGACAATATGACTGTTGAATTAATTTCATCTAATATAGAATCGAATAATTTTATCAAAGATCATACACCGTTAAAAAATAATACTGAAGCATTAGATATTAATGTGATATCTGAGAAATGTTCTTCTCCTACAAAATCTAACGATAATATGGTTGATAAATTAATTTCAACAGTACAGACAGACACATCAGATTCCGATTCTGAGGATTTCGTCGAAATTCAAGATGTTCCAATATCTTACATGGGAATATTACAAAAAAATATTACAAAGAAAGAAAACGTCGAGATAACTTTCAAGGCTGATGAAAAATTAGAAAATGATATTTTTGCTGATATATTTGAGAAAGATGATAAAAATAAAAATTTACAAATTAATTGTTTGGAACAAATACAGTCTGTTAATGAAAACAGTGAACATCGAATGTCGAACTTATTAATTTCTGAAGATAAAAACAACTTGAAAATTAATTTATTCGATACTACATCTGAAGAATTAATCACAGAGAGAACAAAAATCAAGTCACTGGAGAGAGAAAATACTCACTTAGTCGAGAATATATTGAATGATGAAGACAAAGTGCATGACTCTCAAAATTCCAATAAACTAATAAAAAATAATAATGTAGATTTGGTTACTCAAGACAATACTTGTAATGAACACATGCAAGAGAAGACAGCAGTATTGCCTACGAATGAAGAAGATTTAATAGAATTGAAGGTATACTTTTAATATTGTTTATATAAATAAATTAATGTTTAAATTTTAATTATTTATTTTTTCTAATTATGTGATGTGTAAATTTGTTAATTTTTCAGGGACAGTTGGAATATGAGCAGGAAGAACTTACCAAAGACATAGGTAAATTTGAGAGACAAGCTACCAATATTTCTGATCAGATAAAAATTGAGGCACAGGTATAATTTAGTATACATTGAAACAATTTTATACAATTTATCTTGTGTGTGTCATACATTACGTTCGTTTATAGGAATTGTTACATTTATTTGGTATACCATATATAGTAGCTCCTATGGAAGCAGAAGCGCAATGTGCATATTTGGAACAAATTAAACTCACTGATGGTACGATTACGGATGACTCCGATATTTGGTTGTTTGGAGGTCAATGTGTTTACAAAAACTTTTTTGACAATAACAGAAGAGTGTTGCAGTTCTGTGCTTGCGATATTCAACATCATTTTAGTAAGCATTAAATAGATCCATTAATATTTTCTAAAAATATTGTAATATTAAAAATAGTAAAATATTAAAGTAAAATATTTAAAAAAGTAAAATATAAAAAAATAGTAAAATAAAACAAAAATATACATATTGAATATATAACATCTAAAATAATATATATATGGAACTGTAATATATACATATTTTGCAGAACTCAGTCGTAATCAATTGATACAATTGGCCCTTTTGGTTGGTAGTGATTATACTACAGGAGTAGCTGGTGTTGGACCAGTCACTGCATTAGAAATATTAGCTACCTTTTCCACCGAAGGAGATAACGTATTAGACGGATTATACAATTTTTGCTCGTGGATTAAAGAGGGAAAACCTTCTGAAAAACCGGGCTTGCACAATAAATTGCAAAACGTAAAGTTGGATAGGGGTAAGCAGTAATCTGCATATGACAGATAGAGACAAATAGAGTAAACGATAATAAATGGTGTAACTAATTTTAGATTTTCCAAGTCAAGCAGTCGTCCAAGCGTATCTTTTTCCTACTGTTGATGAGTCAAAAGAGATTTTTACTTGGAGTAAACCGAACGTTACGCTTCTTTACGATTATACTAGACAGAAATTTGGATGGACGAAAGACAAGTTCGATGATACAATGATACCGATATTGAAAAAAATGGAGGAAAGCAGGAATCAAAAATTGTTGGATATGTACTTTAAAACGAAGATATTGCCGCAATCTATCGAGCCAACTTTGAGTAAGAGAGTACAAAAAGCTCTATACAGATTACATAGCGCCGATATGGATGTAGAAAATACAGATGGCAAATCTCAATCTAAAAAAGTAAAAAAAGTAATGCCATTCAGAAGTTGAACGGAGAAGAAAATGTAGTCGACTTTAAGATGACAACTAATGAGACTAAATCGCCTCCAAATATGAATGCTACCATCAATAAGTCTGTTGAAACCATTAATCAAAGAAAATATACTAAGGAATATATACCACAACGAGAAAAGGACAGAAAATGTGCATTAGAAAGGAAGTTGCATGCTATAGAAGTACTTAAAAAATCAAAACAAAGCTTAGGTAAAAAAAGAAAAGTAAAATGTATAGTACGAAAGATCAAGAAAGAGGCAGAACTATCAGAAAGCGATAGTAACTAGATTTGTAAATTTGTAAATCTAAATAAAAAAAGATTGTATATTGTGACTATACATATAATAATTTATTTGTAAAATTTAATATATATTTAATATTTATAAGTTTTTTTAATATTGTATGAATAATAAGTATAAGATTTTAACTCCGATATAAATTTATATAATTGTTATGGTTTATAGTATATATATGTAAAATATGAGTATAATTACATATCATTACATTAATTATATATACAGGATGTCTCATTTATATAATTTTCTTTATGTAGCTCGAAATAATATAGTATAACTGTATTAGTTTCAAATTAAATACATTTTTTCTTAAAAATATGTATTTTTTACAATTAATTCCTTCATTATTTTGTGCATAAAAGTTATTTAAGTAAGATTATTGAAAAATGAATATTTTATGAGATTTTTTTTTTTTTATTTATTTTTCATGGTTTATATATATGTAAAATTATATCAAATTAAAGATTAAAGTATAAAATATGTCAAACTATTCATTTTCTGTGTGGCTATTCTATTCTTAAGGTTCATCTATAATAGAGTCGTCAAGCCGTAAAGGTGCAATTTTACGTGCTCAAATTTTAGTCAAAGATGCAATTGAGTTAGCGTATGCTTTCATAAAACTGAGGGAGCGGCTAACGAATAAGCAAAGCGATAGTCAGTAGTGGGGTAGAAAATATTGCCTCGCTTATTGATTGGCTGCTCGCTACTTGATGTGGCCTATCTGCATTGACCAATCACAGTCGATTATTTCAAAAATAATCAATTGTAATTGGTCAATTTCTTATGACTTCATTGTAGATAGTCCTTTACGCTACTCCGCTGCATGAGTTTTCATCTTCAGAGATAATTCATAATTCATGTTGTACAGTTTAAATTTTAACGTCATTTTGATAGACTTGTTCGAAAACATTTTGTGTTTTGGCGAGCTAATTACAATGGAAAAAATAATACAGTTACAAGAAAAGCGTGTAAAAATAGATACGTTAGTGGTTAAAAATTTATGGCAAACTGAAATTGTAGATGAAACTAAAAGAAATCAAGACCATGAACGATTTCATGGTAAATCTTTATTATTCGCAAATATGCAGAACAGATTAATTTAGATTAAGAAGGAAAAAAATATAATAAAGTTAAAAGGAGAAATTGCAAGAAATGATTATGTTATTTATTGCTTTTTTTGAAGCCTTTAAGTTTACTTTAGAAAATGTATAATTTGTTTAACATAATATTTGTTATTATTCTGTTATAACTTGTGTATATATTTCTCATAAATATTATATATATATTATATTTTTTTAAATATTTTTTTGTTACATGATATGTAACATTCTGTTACAAATTATATAGATTCTCCAAAGTACAAGTTGTAGAATTGAATAAATTTTTTTTATTTTCTACAGAAGATGAATCTAAGATTAAAGAATTAACATTAAAATTAACTGTTATGGAAGAAAAGTTATGTCCAGAAACTCAAAATTTGGAGCATAAAAATAACGAGTTAACGAAACATAATACTTATTTGGTAAGTATAATTGGAGATTAATATATAAGTACACAAGCCTGAATATTTTTCCATTCAATCTTCTCAGATGTTTTAGTATTACTATATTATTATTACAGATAATAGTTGCTTTCCATTTACATCAAAACTTAGATAAATCTCATTTCTGTTCTCAACATCCATGTTAAAGAAAGACAGAAGTGAGATTTGAGTTTTGTAAATAGAAAGAAACTATTATATTATATATTATTTTATTAAATACTTTTATTAAATAGGAAAAACTAGAAGCAGAAAGAAAAAAGTTTTTACAAGAGATTAAAGAAATGGAGGAAAAACGAAACAACTTGAAGTCTTTTAAACCAAACTTACAAGATCAACAAGTGCTAGAACTAGGAAAGTATGTATTGTGATTCTATATCAATATTTCCTTTATTTTTCATTTGTCTTCATTTGTCTTGTTTTGTTTTGTTTTATAGAAAAAAATTAAAATTGTACAAAAAGTTAACGAGGGTGCAATGGGATTATGAAGCTACAAAACATAGCGTAAAAGGCTGTATCCTTTTTCAATATTTACAACTAATACAGGTACAATTTGTCATGTCAGTTGTTAACATGCTTTATGCAAGTGGACACAACACATGCTTCAAAATATATTTAATGGTTTAATCTTCCTTTTTTTTGTAAATGAAATTAGAAACATTTAAATACTTTAACATATATGTGGATAACAATCCTTAATTCTTGATATAGATGTTTCAAACAAATGTGATTATATTAATCATTTTTGTTATGAAAATCAAGAGCCTAATGACAAATTAGTAGACTCTTTATGGCATGAAATATATTTGTCTACTAGCAAAATTAGAAATTAAAATTTCTAAACATATACAACTGTACAATATGGTATTTTTAATTTAATGCTTTATTTTATAGTTTTTCTTTTCTTAAATTTGTTACATCTTAATTTAGCTTATTTGTACAATATCAATAATCAGTATTAATTAATCATTAATAAGTTATGTAAAATTAATGCAGTTTATTCTATTTATAATAAATGAGATTGTTCTTGTTACTGTAAAACTAAAATTTCTATTAAAGAAACATTTATTTCAAAATAATATTAAAATGAAAGTTTAATAGATATGGTCAAAATAAGATTAATAGACACTAATTCTTTATTTTATATATATATATATATATATATATTTGTGTGTATATAAAAATAATATAGTCAAAATAAGATTAATAGACACTAATTCTATATGTGTATATATATATATTTGTGTTCATATAATATGTACATGTGTGGTTTGGATATATGCACACATTTAAATTTTGTCAAAATTACTTCAGAATATATTAATCGTTTCTATATTAATTAAAGTGAGTATATGTGTGTTGAATATGATTATTATGGTGGATTTATGAAATAAACTTGAAATTTATGGTAAAGATAATTTTTTTAATGGTTTAAAGATTTCATTAATATAACAATCTATATACTAAAATTTTCTATCAAGCTTTTCCATAGTTAAGAGCTTAAATGCATGATTTGTATAATATAATATGTAATAGATAAAAAGAGATGAAAAGAGAACACATAACGCTATCATTATAAAAGTACTTGCAACACAGAAAAGAATGCAGCTTAAAATACTTGCACCAATAGCCAATACTGTCACTGAAAATATAACATCTTTATAAGAATATGTAACAATTATCTCTCGCAACAAAGAAGAAATATTATTTCTCACCTTGAATCATCATAAAACCGATAAATGCAAATACAGCACTAATAGTGGCAAATACAACAAACAGAAGGATAGGCGTTAATAGTGATGCTACCACAACAAAGGTAGCCACTTGTAGAAATGGATTATGGATAAACTGCTCCTTAAATTTGACAATGTACATACAAACACTGGGATGATATAAAACCATTTGCCATTTTCTGGCACATTCTTCATCTGAAAATAAACATTATTAATTCCTACTTCTATCCATCTTTTAGTTTCATAAAATTATAAGAAGTATACTGCAAAAATAAAGAGTGTACAATAATTAAATATAATATATATATATATATATATATATATATATATATATATATATATATATATATAAAAATACTTGCAGTACATAAATATTGAATGATATATCATGTTGTCTGCCTTTTTTGCCTGTAATAAAATAATTTTTCCTCATTCGTCTTAAATCGACGATAGGAAAATGAAAAACAAGATAAAATAGACAAAAAAGTAGAAATCACTGCTTAATATTAGGTGGACATTCGTTACAAAAAGAAAAATGATTATTTTTCAAACACAGTTATATGTTTATTTTACCTCTATCATTGTTTTCTGGATGTTTAAAATGCTAATTTTTTAAAATCTAGTTATTATTAATTTTATGCATATACACATGACTTTTACAATTTGCGATTTAAAAGTCACAATTAAAAAAGGATTATTGATATTTGTCTTTTACTTATATGTACATGATATAGAAAATATATGTGAATTGAGAGAAAATAAGTGGAAAATAACAACAATTGATATTTATTTGCAAGTTCAATCGTTTAGTTTACATGATACACACAGCTGAAGGGTTTGTTCGTTTTAGCTGCACTGCTGGGATGCGTGACGTACGTCTGACAGGTCGGTATTTTGCTCCATGAAATCGCACCCTAACGTTAACATTTATCGATATATTTAGCGATAAATGTGAGATGTGAGCTTGGAATGCTACACAGTCGCAAGCCGCAGTCTGAATTAACATAATAATAAATAATGTGTAAACATGTAAATAGCAGAAAAACTGAATTGCTTACAATTAGTGAGAAAAGCGGCCACACTGTCACCTGTCACCTGTTAATCAGTAGATCTGGATTCGATCTTGGCTCGTACCATTTCATAGGTTAAGATTAAAGTTACATTTTAGTATTTACATATTCTGTGATTTTAAAATAAAAACGCGAAGAGTACAGAAATTCTTACTGTAATGGAAATATAAAAAAAGCATCAATATATACTGTATCAAAAGGATGTGGATATTCCTTAATGAATAACTTAGAATTAATCAAATTTAAATAGCCATTGCAACACTTGATTTGTTCGTTGGTTTCGAAAGTTTTTAAACTGTTTTGTCGAAATAAGAATGTTTAATGTTTAGAAAGAAAATAATAAATTTTATGCGATGATTAGCTACACATTAATCGATTGTTAAATATACGCATACGATATCATGATATATTTTGACGAAATCATCAAGCCGATACGATCGCGTTGAGCTTAGCAAATTTGTGAATAATGCAATTACAAATTTCGCTGGGTATTTCGTCGGATGACAGAAATGGATCATCGTGGCTGAGGTAATAAAAAAAAGGGATATATCCATCAATGTACACGCACACACATACATACACACACATGTATATGTATAAATATATTCTGTAATCCATAATAAAAAAATATATTTATATATAAAGATGATTATGGAAGCATTTTTTTTAATTACTGAGAATTTACTTAATATTTTAATTTTGTATGAGTTTATAACTTACTAATTACTTTTCAATAAATTTATATACACATCATTTAATAAACATACATCACACACATAATATATACAATATACATATATATATATATGTATATATTAAATTGTGTGTGTGTATAGTTACATTCCTATGTCTATGAGTTACATAATACAATGTATTTTAATATATTCTTTCAATTGTTAGACTTATATATCATGCATAGAACATTAAGATATTTATAATGATTATCAGAGTATAAGAGTTGTGCCATTTGTTTTTGTTCAGAAAGGAGAAACGGAAATGGTTCCTGTCATTATTGTGTGGCACGTGTTTGGTATATGCCACACGTACATCTATCCCTTTATTGATACCAATCATCAGCAAGGAGAGGCATTGGTCAAAGCCTGAGTCTGGCATTATACTATCGAGCTTTTTTTGGGGATATACATTGACACAAGTGATCAGTGGCTATATAAGTGACAGAATCGGAGGGCAGAAAGTATTATGGATATCCGCTCTCGGTTGGTCGACAACGACCTTCTTTATGCCAGAAATCATACAATCTTTTTCCAATGATCAGACTTCCGTTTTACTTATTGCAGTGGTGAGAATGATAAACGGAGCATTTCAAGGTAGTTTTTTTTACATTATGCTGCCACACTGAAGGCAATTGAAAATAACACTTGTCACTTACAGGAATGCACTTTCCTAGCATGATTAGCTTGATTAGTCAACGCTTACACGAGGCGGAACGCGCCTCCTTTTTTGGTTTGTTAACATCAGGATCTGCTCTGGGTACATTACTCACTGGATCATTAGGCTCCTACCTTTTGGAGAATTATAACTGGATGATTGTCTTTCGAATCTTAGGTACAATATACTTCATATACAATAAAAGTAGAATGTTAAAGAGAGAACAAATTTATAGTAAATTGCTATAAATACATCAAATTGAGAGGATTTGGACAAGAATTTATTAAATATAAAAACGTGATTTTAACTTTAAAAATTATTTTAATTACATTAAAACGAAAAAGCTCTGATGTAAATAAATACAAATTCATATAGGAAATAAGTTAATAAGAATCACAGCACGACAAGCACAAACTTATTGTTAAATTCTTTACCATTTAATTTTAACGTTTCTTTTTTCTTCTTTTTTCCTTTTAGACTATCTTTGGCAGATCAATTAGCAAAACATGAATTTTTTTTATTAATTGATTTGCTGAAGAACATTTTGTCTAAAAGAAGGATTGAAACATTCAAACTGAATGATGAAGAATTTAAAAACAAATTTGTTGCATCTAATTTCTGCATCTGACTCTTATTTTAACCAGTTTTCTACTTTCTTACTATTTTAATTTAAAAAAATGGAAAAATGTATTCAAGAATAAATATTTTAGTGATAATAATAATAATGCATGCTACATAAAATGAATTTTATATGAATCTCAGTGCATCACTTGCAATTTAATATAGTTAAATGTAATTGCGTTTTATCCAGATTTAATAAATTACTTGCTATTTTTGAATGTTTCAACTAATTTCGAATCAATTTTTTTCTTAGTTAAAAAGTATTAAGAGAATTTATTATTTGCTCAAATACTAAAATTAATTATACATATATCTTTCTAATTCTCAAAATAAACTCGTGAATCTGTTAAAGCAAGACACATATGTTATTTGAAAAAAAGGATAATTAAGGTTTTATTGTCTATTGTATTTCCGAAAGATCTTTCAATTTCGCTTATAATAGTAATTATTATATATTTTTTTGTTAAAATAAAAAATTAATTTCAAATTATATATAGATAAGAGATGAGGATACATGTTATATGGTTTAATAGAGAGTTGATTGTTGCATTTTTTTGTCTATTTTGTTAGTTTTCAAGTGAAAGTTTGGATACATTTCTGATGTTTACTAATTTACTCATATAGGAGGCATGAGTTTGGCATGGACAATCTTATTAAGCTACCACATCCTGCCATTTAAGGACAGAACAATTTCTACTAGATCAAACACTAGCTACACTTTGCCTTGGCTCAAGCTTTTATCAAAGCCTCCTTTCTGGTAATCATGATGCAAAATCTATATGTATATACATACATACATATACATTTTTTACATTTTTTTCTTTTTCAATTTGAGGACAAAAGATGAAATATATTTCCTTCGTAGTTAATTTGCTGTAATGAAAGAAAGAAAAAGAGAGAGAGGCATTAAATAATTCCTAGAGAATTATGATTGTACTCTAAAATACAAAAGCTCACATATTGCAAATTATACATGTATGCTTTAGTTTAATTGCTGAAATGCTTGAGTTTTAAGAAATGTGTTGCTTGTCCAATTCCGAATCTTTTAATTGTGAAAATTGCAAAAGACTGTGATTATAAGTTTTTGTAAGTACAACATAACAATCGAATTGATTGTCTTGTCTGCTTTGTGACTATTAATCATGACTTTCAGGTCTTGTGTTATTGGACATGCTTGCCAAAATAATTGTTTCTTTGTATTACTTTCATGGATGCCTACATATTTTCATGACATATTTCCCGAAGTTAAGGTAAACTGTTATTTAATTCTCATTTTGAATGTTTATCAAAAAATAATTTTCCACAAATGTTTACAACTTATAATAAATAATATAATACAATATAATTTTATTTAAATAATTACATTTAATTGATACTTTTATTTTTTGATAAACTTATAAGGTATCGTGTACTATGTAGTATTTTATAGAAAGATTTGCAAAAAAATAGTTACATAATAAAATTAAAAATAAGTAAAATTTGTAATTAAAAACTAAATCATTTTTCTATTACTCTCATGTTAACTAATTCATTTTAAATAATAGATTTGGGTTGTGAATGTCATACCATGGTTATCAATGCTACCTTGTACATTTTTGGGAAAAGTTCTGTCAGAAAAGATAATTAAAGCCGGTTATTCCGTGACTTTAACACGTAAAATAATTCAAACAATCTGTTTCATCACTGAAATTGGAAGTCTCTTATTTTTAAGTAAGTCCATTTTAATCTAATTTATGAAAGCTTGAGAATAATTAATCATAAGTCAAGAAAAGTCAAGAATGAGGAGGGATAATATAAGTCTTTATGTAGTATTTAATTTCTATTGCACAAATATTTATATTCTATATACACACAATTTTTTATAATTGCAATGCTGTTTTATTAAAAGTGGGTTGAGAACTGACAGTAGAAGTAAAATCAAATCAATTTTCATTTTTATTTCTCTCTCTGCAGCAAAAGTGAAAAGCTTTCAAAGTGCAGTATTGTGTCTTGCACTGATTATTGGTGGTTCAGGCTTTCATAATAATGCTATTGCTGTAAATCCTTCGGATCTTGCACCAAAACATGCTGGAAGTGTATTTGGTCTGATGAATACTGTTGGTGCGATACCTGGTATGTGTAATCAATATAATTAATTTTATTAATAAATAATGTAATGTTTTTTTTTTAGGTTTTCTTGGTGTATATTTTTCCGGATACATCTTACATTTGACACATAGCTGGTCCATAGTCTTTTTACTTATTGCTATTATTGATATTGTAGGATGTGTAACGTATATATTATTTGGCTCAGGTCAAGCAATTATATAAATTACCTCTTGTACAATCAATGTATTTTTCTTTGAATTAACAAAATTTTTATTTATACTTTTTTGTATATAAAGAAAGAGAAAAAAATCACTGATTCCTGTTACAAATATCAAAGTGAAAAAATCCATAATCAACGATGGTATAAGTAGCAATATGGTAATTGTAAATCTTATATATTATTATAAATCTAATTGATTAATTTCTTTATGCATTTATTACATCTATACAATTTTTTCTGAATAATAATCGTTCTAATTGCCATCACTATTCATAAACAGCGTTGACTGGCGAGTTGAATTTTTTGCACATGTTTAACGAACACGATATATCGATAAGTATCTAAAATATATTAAAAAAAAAAAGAACGTGCATGTGCGAAAAACCGGTCTGACATTTGTGAGTACATTTGTATCTGACGTAAAATATAAGTCTATTTTTTTTAACTGAACTAGCTGCACTATTTCAGAATTTATCTTTTTTTTACTTTACATTGGAAGGAAAAAGAAACTAGTGCAGCGAGTAAAGCCGGAAGTTGCGAGTGAGATAGTTGATTTGACACTTGACACTATTTCTTTCTCACTTTATCGTACAGAGGAAACATGGCCTAAAGCCATAATCACCCTGCGGATTAGGATTAGAATTGAGATTGGATTGAAATATAACCAATCAGAATAATGAGCGATATCCAATGAGAGCTCTGTTTTTCCGAACGTCACATTAGAGCAGAGAGTTTAGAGTCGCAACTTCCGGTTTCACTCTGCAAACGGATTTAAACGGAATGTTTGGTCGTTTGTCGCTTGCTGAAAAGCGCCCAAGATCAATTCAAGTGTTTTATGCACAGTAGTCTAACCTAGCTTAAGCTTAAGTTTCAAACTTGTCAATGTAATTATCCAACAGACAATTTGACTACGAATACTGTGTTTTTTGTTAATTTTTTTACCATTTTACTGAATAATAAGCAAATATTGATGATTATCAGGAAAAATTGTTATCGCGAGTAAGAACTATAAAGGTGTTACAACAGATTCCATGGCATTTCCACTAAATGATCAAGTTTATACAAAATCCTTTACTCCTAGAGAATATCAGGTAAGTTTTTTTTTATATGGCTGAAGAGATAAGAAAATTACAAATAAAATATTATAAATTATAAATTACATGTACAAATTCTATATTATGGATAATTAGATAAAAAATTGTTCTTTGGTATTTTATGCTATGATTATTTGTAGGTAGAGCTTCTTTATACGGCAAAAGAAAAGAACATAATTGTCTGTTTAGGAAAAAATTCCGAGCAAACATTTCTTGCCATAAAATTGATTCAAGAGTTTGCTACTAACAACAGAAGGTAACAGTAGTGTTTCTATTTATATTTCAACAAATATATTGAAACATTGTTAAGATTTATTGTTAGATATTTATGTGAAAAGTATTGAATTTATAATAAACTTTTCATAATAAAATTATGCTATTGAATACACATGTACATTTCTATTGAAAATCTTTATACAGACAAGTATTTCTTATTTATCTAATTTTTTAGATGAAATATAAATACAAGATTGAATATGAATGGAATATTTGTTAAATACATTCATACAAATTTCTTTATTTTATTCAATTTTTTTAGATCAATAAGTGATGGTGGAAAACGGACAATATATATATTAAATGACGAGGATAAGTGTATAATAATAGGAACTTATATCAAACAATTGACAGATCTGAAAGTATTAGCATGCAATTCTGATATATTTAAGGAATTTGATGAAAGTTTAGAAAGATCTCATGTAAGAGAAGATACATATTTATTACTTTTATCATTGGTTAAGATAAAATTTATTATAAGCATTTCTTTTTCATGATACATTTTATTTCATATATAGGTGTTAGTCGGAACAGCAAAAGTTTACGCACAATTAATATCAGAAAGCAAACTTTTATCATCTCATATAAATCTAGTCATAGTGGATGAGTGCCATAAATCTATTGAAGATAGCAATTTAAAGTTTATGCTTCAAACTTTTCTATTGTGCAACAATGTTCCTAGAATAATTGGATTGGCAGTGCCTGTGTTCAATTTAACACAAGAATCTGGAAGATTGGGCCTAGAAATAGAAAAAGTCGAGGCTGCTTTTCAGTGTGGTGTAGAAACTGCTAACGATATTCTTTCAGTAATACGGTAAGCTTAATATATATAATATAATAAAATTTTCTTATTGTAGAAAAAACTAAGAAACTGGGAATTATTTGTAGTTATAGTCCAAAACCGAGGGAGTACATTGTGGAGTATGACAAAGGAGAAAAGAAAGACTTGTACAACACACTTGAAAGTTGTGTATTACACGCTATTGAATTTTTACGCGATCATCGGTATGATCCAATGGAAATTTATACCGAGGAATTTTACGAGGATATTCAAAAAATTCCTGATCCTATACAGAAACCCTTTGAGATGATGCAAGATTTTTTGCATATATTAGAAACTCTTGGACCATGGTGCGCAGATCGTGCTGCTCTAGCATTGTTATTTTTAACGGAAAAATTGAAGGTTAAAACTCCTTATGAGAGGCATTATCTGCTATTAAATATGATGGCATCAGTTTTTATAAAAATTCGGTAAGATATGGTAATAATAATGATGCTGTTGATACCTATTTGTTAATTAACTTTGATGGATATCTATATTTTAATTGAGTTTTCCTATGCAAACGTAGTTTTTTTTCCTTTTTTTTATTTATTATGGAATATAATATTAAAACTGAATCTTACAGTGCTCTTTGCGATAATGAATTTCAACGTTTATCTGAGAAAGAAAGGATATATCAATATAGTACTCCAAAAGTTCATCGATTGTTACAAATCTTGAAAATTTATACTCCTTTTTACACTAAAGAGACAAACACTTTAGAAAAAAGACGAACGCTGGTAAGACTCTTTCCTAATGTATAAAATATATACATATATATATATATATATATAAAATATATAATAGTGTTTTAATGTATATCTTCAAGTATATGTTATATATCTTTCTCAGATATTAATTCAAAGAATTGTGTCACAAGAAATGAGAAAGATACCTCTTTCTCGAGAACTCAGGAAAAACCAGCACAATTGAAAAGATTTGGAGCTAATTGGAAATTTAACGATGACAATTGCAGAAAGACATCCAAATTACAACGTTACCCATGCAATAGTACAGATCCTGATTTACTCTGTGGAGTAATTTTTGTAGATAAAAGCTTTACAGCTAAAGTTTTATTTTATTTGTTAAGCGTATGTATGAATATTTTTGCAATAATCATAAAATATTGTTTAAATAATTATGAATTTAAATTATATATTGATAACTCGTAGGAAATATGTAAACACGATGAAGACTTGCATTTTTTATCACCTCTTTATACAATTGAAAGAAATACCGACGATGTTGGTTATTCGAGAGATTTAGAAATTGAACATAGGAAGCAGGAGGAAGTTTTGAAGCGATTTAGAATTCATGAATGTAATTTATTGATTGCAACTTCAATCTTGGAAGAAGGTTTGTAAAAATTTGTTTTTATTATATTATACTTATATTAGATATTCTTTCTAAAAAAATAAGATCCCTTATAAGGATAAATTCAAAATGTAAGGGATAGAAGAGGGTGTGTACAATTAAGTTCTTCTTAGATTGCAAAATATATGCATCTTTATAGGAAACATATGTATATATATATATATATATATATATATATGTATACATGGTTTGCCACAAAAGTAATGAGACTCAATATGTAATGCAGAATGTGACAGCATTGAAAAATGCCAATTACACAAAATATATAGTATAATTCTTCTAAAAGCACACCAAGTCTCGCAATTATTAAATATTATCACATTATACGCTACTTTTGTCACACATGTGTATGGGTGTATTTCTATATGCGTATATTTCTCTTTCTTACATTGCCGTCTTATAGGTTTTTTTTGATCTATTTATATGCGATACTTTTTTTCTTCTTAATATTATATTTATTGTAGCTTATTAAACACAATATCTTTACATTATGTTTTTCACAGGTATTGACATTCCAAAATGTAATTTTGTGATGAGATATGACTTTCCAAAGAATTATCAGTCATATGTACAGTGTAAGAGCAGAGCAAGAGCTGTAGATGCCTTGCATGTGCTATTGGTACCACAAGAAGCATCTAAAGACTTTATATGGCAATTAGCTCAATATCAATATATAGAAAAGGTATAATTTGCAAAACTTTATTTTAATATAATCCGTCTAAAGTTTGAGTGTCTTGTTAAGACGCTTATTTGATCAATTAAATTTTACTTTTTGTACTCGGCTTATCTTTTCGAATCGTATAGTATTGCATACCGTTTAATTTATTCATAAACTTTAGTGCATACCAGTTTTATTATCAACCTTTAATGTGGTTCATTATCTGTGCCAACCTCGGTCGAAAATTGTAACGGAAGAGCATCAATCTATTTTGTAGACTTTATTATTAAAATGTTCTAATAAAGAGCTGACTGAGGAGGAAGAGAACGAGGCAGATATGTATGCCGCGATGATACCACATTACAAACCACTTGATGGAGATGATGCTTCCAAAGTAACTTTTAATTCTGCCATCTCGTTGGTTAATAGGTAACATAATTTATTTTTATATCGTTAACAATTAATGAAATGTAATCATTGCTTTAAAAAAGAACTGGTGTTTAAAGTAGCTATTTTAATGCGCTAATATTAGTGCTCTCGATTATGCAGATATTGTGCAAAGTTACCTAGCGATACGTTTACAAGATTAACACCAGAATGGTTGGTCGAAATGGTAAATATCCACGATACACCAATGTATATCTGCTCATTACGACTTCCTATAAATTCACCATTGAAGTATGTAGTTACGGTGAGTTACGATAGTTATATGTTTATCAAATAATACGTGCAGTACTACTCAAAGTTTTTTCAGCATTTTCGATAAATTACAAGATTATTTTTGTGTTTAACATAAATCATTAATATTAAAAATTATCATACTATGTTCGTTTATATCATGTTTTAGTCATATTTAATGCCAAATAGAGCTATGGCTAGACGTATGGCTGCTTTGCAAATGTGTATCGATCTACATCGAGAAAACGAGATAGATGATAATTTGTTACCTATTGGAAAAGAAAATTTTAAAGCCAAGCCTGAAGATGCCGAAGTACCTGCTTTACCGGATGAAAGCAGGGCCGACTTTTCAGAAGCTAGACCTGGAACGACAAAACGCAGACAGTATTATTATAAAAAGGTTGTACTTATTTATATCATTTGTTATTTCTTCTCTTTCATTATTTTGTGAATAGTTATCATCAATTTGCATCATTCTTTTCAGACAGCTGAAGCATTAACAGATTGTAGACCGATAGTTGGAGTACCTTCTTATTTATATCATATTAAAATGGTATTAAGTTGTCCTCTACCCGAAGAACAAAATACGCGAGGCAGACGCATTTATCCCCCTGAAGAATCGGCTATTGGATTTGGCATACTTACATTAAAGGAAATACCTAAGGTGAAACATTTTTAGTTTCGTTCTTCTCGTGAATCGTGTGTTTCAAATATTAACTTTAAAAAAAATGTATAAATGTTTTTAACATATGTCATTATGAATTATTTTTCTTCGTAGCTGTGTCCATTTCCTATTTACACTAGGTCGGGTGAAGTTCATGTGCAATTAAAACTTAGTAAGCAGACTGTAATTTTGGATGAAGTTCAGATAG